GTTCAAAGAAGCCACATGCTTCTGACAATCGGAAACAAGTCGGAAACTTTTGCATTCCCCAGAAAATTTTAAAGTTTTCAACCACTCAGAATTCAGAAGAGCTCAGTAATGTTAAACACAGTGAATAAAGTCTTGTAACGCGTATTATTTGTCCATTAGTTCGAGTGTATTAATTATTAAATGTGGCGTTTTTACCTTAGACAGCGACCATCATTCGCCAAATTGCAATCATTACTAATATAGCAACATGATGTAACAATTATGAAAATTATTATCTTTAGAAAACAAAAGAAAACACGCGTTAACATCACAATGAAATCGATTTCGGTCTCAGCAAGTATCGCGAACAGATCAATAAACATTAAAGCATTATAACGTAATCGATCTATCCCACATCCCGTACTGTAAAATAGAATGGACTGACGTCTATTAAAACTTCAAGATCGTCGCGTTTGGACACCGTGTAAAAGGAGACAGGAGGTATCTCAAGAGCGTCGCGAGACATTAAGTTTATCTCGAGATGTCCATTGGGATATACCATCGTGAATAATAAAATATTGAGTTATAAAAAACGTATAGACGCTTTATGTGCGTTTAGAGTATTTGTTCAAGTGTCTTTTGAATATTTTTTTACCTATGATAAATAAGGAGTCATCACGGCATGTGTTGGCACGACATATCAAAGTCGCAGCAAACATCATCGACTAAGCCAGAAACCAATTAGCATAAATTATTGACAGTGTATTCTTACAGACTGTCGTAATTCAACAATATATGTTATCATAATCCTCGTCAGAGTTAAAAAAGCGCTGTTATGCCAGACATTACGATGTTTGACTTGATTTCGTTGAATCGATAATTAACTGTTTCAATGTATCGCATATCCTTATCATATGTAATCGCTATTCTGCCATGTTGACAAAGATGGGCCATCAAATAATACGTTGACAAATAAAAAAGAAAGAATAAAGCCGTGGATACCCCCGTGAGAGGCTCGGTAAACAAATTGCGAGTATATAAGGGCATCAGTTCAAGCTGACGGTTACTTTGGTGCGATTTCACGACCTCCTGTCTTCACTAGACCACATCCACAATGGCACACGCCATTTTCGTAGCAACTGTACTGGTTGCCCTGTGCTACTCTACACAGGTAAGTTACAATAATAATCATCACAATATATAAAAGCGATTATTAGCGATTCAAGGCAAGTGTCAAGAAACTACTGAGTCTAAATTCCAATGAAATTTATTGCGCTTATAGAATACCAAAAGGTATGCTATTAAGAGAAGCTAAATGTATAAATTGGTATCGCCTGTTTGCACTGTTTAAAAGCAATGATAAATATTTCTCGGCAATTAGAGAACAGACATTTTGGCCGTGACATATTTTGGTTTCATGTCCGATATAACTCTCTTTGCACCTAACGCAATACAAATAATTTCGATTCTTTAATCTTCGATAATTCTCGTTGGGTGTTCTATATTGTAGCACCGCGCGTTTTACAAGATACAGTTTATATTTAACACTATAACATGATATATGATATGCATTCATTAAAATATATAATATTTCGACCTTTATTACTCTGTATACTTTAATGAGTACGTACCTTATTTGAAGTATAAACAATTGCTTTCATTTGTTTGATATCGTTAGGCTCTGCCGAGATTCACTTACGAGGACATCATACCGGGGTCATACAGCGCCGCCGCCCCCTTAATTATCTCATATAGTGCACAAGGCGAACAAGGCGAACAAGGCGAACAATATTCCGTGGGCAAAATTATGGAAGGAGTTCAACACGTTGTTGATGGATCTATGCAAATAGTAGAAGGAGCCTTTGGAATCCCACCAAAGATTATCGGTGGAATTCTAAAAGGTTTTGGAAAGGTGGGCAACAAGAATTCTAACCAAAAGCCAGAACCGGAAGTTACTGAACCGAAAGGCACTGATGAGGTCATAGAGGCAGAAGTTGCCGGTCTTATAACGGATTTTTTTGGTAAAGGGATAAAGAAGGTAGGAGAGATAGGAGGAACGATAGGCGATGGAGCAAAGAAGCTTGGAGAGTTTGCCGACAAAGGAATAAAAGCAGTGATCTAAATAAAATTGGCAACTAATCTATGTTAAAGGATATTACGAGAAGATCAGACACGCTTGGTCGGATAACTAATTAATCTTAACTCTGAAACGTAACTTAGATTCATTCAGAGTTGAAATGTTCAAAGACGCCACATGCTTCTGACAATGCCGAAGACTCTCGCGTTCCTCAGAGAATTTTAAATTTTCCAATCACTCAGAGTCTAAGAGAGCTGAGTAATGTTAAACCCAGTGAATAAATTCTGTAACGCGTATTATTTGTCCATTAGTTCGAGCGCATTAATTATTAAATATCGCGTGTGGTGCCTTTATCTTAGACAGCGGCATTATCATCCATCACATTGCGATCATACGTAACATGATGTAACAGTTATCATAATCTACTGTTTGCTGAAAAAGAAAAAAATATACACGCGTTAACACTACGATAGAATTGACTTCGGCCTCAGCATGTATCATGAATAGTGCAATAAACATATTAAAGCATTATAAGAGAAATGTTTCAATCAATCTATCTCACATCCTGTACCTTAGAAAAGATAGACGTCCATTTGGAAGCTACAAAATCGTCCCGTTTCAACACCGCGTAAGAGGAAGCAGAAAGAAAGTATTCGTCACAGTGATATTTCGTGGTCAAATGAAAATCGTTTTACAAGGCAAGACTTGCGATAACCGACAATTATTAAATAGATAACGGTGTGCGTAATGTAATCACTGAAAGAGCTACAGAAACTTTACAGTCTGAGTATAAAAATGTTGCGAGTGATACATGGACGATGAGAATGAACTGAAATTCAATTTGTTCACGATGTACGATGTACGTGTGTACGCACTTGCGCACAAAAATAATATCTCCTAATCTGACGTCAGAATTAACACGCAAAAGTATTTGAATTCCTATTCCTATCTGTTTCAAAAGTATACAGATAAATTTCCAAACCATTTTTATTGTAACTATTTAAAGTTGAATTGCAATATTAATTTAAACAGAGGGTTTTGATTATTTTGAAAATTTTTTTGTATTTTATATGGCAAATGTGTAATTTGCATTATTCTCGTAGCTGAGAATAAATCAATGTAAAATAGATATGTCTAGTTTACATTCTAACGATGATTCAACATTTGACGCGCATTGTAATGCGCAATTACGTTATAAGTAATATACGTTTCATCACTTACCTACACGAGTCATCAATAAAAAAAACTGCAGTACTCTTAGACTTCGTAGAAATATTTCAAATTATAAATTTTACAGACGATATACTATACAGGTGTAGAAGTTTGAAACCGGAATTTTTTTGTAAAAATTACACGTCTGTTGTTTGAAAATTATAAAAAATATTTTATTCAAAATAATGTCCATTGCTATTTATACATTTTTCCCACCTCTCCGGCAGTTTATGAATGCCACGCCAAAAAAACATTTCTTCTTTTGAAACGAACCAGCTATCGAGCCATTTTCGCACATTTTCATACGAATTGAAGCGTTGTTCAGCGAGAGCGTGTCCCATTGATGCGAATAGATGATAATCGAACGGAGCCAAGTCTGGAGAATAAGCCGCATGCGTTAGTATTTCCCAACTGAACGCCTCGATCGTTTCCTTGACCCGTTTTGCTGTGTATGATGGGGTATTATCATGGAGCAAAATGNATTTTCCCACTTTCTGAATCTTTCTCATGGCTTTCAAACGAATTGAGACAGCTTTCTGCGCCACATTCAATTCATCCGCGAGTTCTTGTTGAGTTTGAGTATCATCTTCATCCAATAAGGTTTGCAATTCGTTGTCTGCGAACTTTTTCGGTGGTTTCCCACGCTCTTCGTTTCTCACGTCAAAATCACCACTTTTGAATTTTTTGAACCACTCGAAACACTGTGTTTTACCAAGAGCATGTTCACCGTAAGCTTCGACAAGCATTCGATGCGCAGCAGTTTTCTTCAAATGATAACGATAAACCAATGCTGTCCGCAAATCGTAGTTCGTAGGCACAAAACTCGACATGTTTAAAGTTATAGAAAAATATATCGGTGTGTGGACCTTGGGTTGTTGTATGTTGAAAATCTTCGTCAGCTGTTAGAGAGCGAGATGATAGCGCTGCAGAAGCGGTCTTACGGTCTCTAAACTGATGGCTAACACCATCTATAGGGAAATTCCGGTTTCGTACTTCTACACCTGGTAGATGGTGCCATTCTCAGTGAGAAATGAGAAGTCAAAATGATATAAAAGTAATGTCAAAATGTAGACATCGAAAAGAAATTGAAATCCAATATCGATTCGAACTTCAGACGAGCTCAGTTCCGAGAAATTTTTAATCGCCGAAATCAGCTTGATTTCAAATTTACCTCGAAATATCCATCAGAATTTTACAATCAAGGATATTGAAATATTGAGTTATAAAAAACATATGGATTTTTTATGTGTAAACTATTCATCCAAGCACCTCTTGAATTTTGTGATGCCTGTAATAAAAAAAAGTTTTCACAACATGTGGTAGCAGGAAATGTCAAAGCCACAACAAACGTCATCGACTAAACCAACAAATAATTCACGTAAATTATTGATAGTGTTTTCTCAAAGACTGTCGTAATTCAACAGTCGACAATATACGTCGTCATATACTCTTTGTCAGAGTAAAAACGCGTTGTTACGTAAAGCATTACGATGTTTGCAATGATATCATTGAATCGATAATTATCCGCTTCAATTATCTATTTTTATCGTGTGCAAGACGATTAATTATTTCAACAAAGTTGGCACAGGTGGGCCATTTTAAATAATACCTCGAGAAATGAGAACTAAAATAAAGTCATAAATGCTTGCGAAAAGTCCAGGAAAAAAATGGCAAGGAGTATATAAGGATATCAATTCGAATTGACGGTATTCTCACGGTTTCTCGACTTTCTGTCTTCACGAGACCACGTCTACTATGGCACGCGTTATTTTCCTAGCAACTGTATTGGTGGCCCTGTGCTACACCAGCCAGGTAAGTTATAATAATAATTATCATAATATAAGAGCGATTCAAGGCGAATGTGAAGAAACGACTAAGCTAAATTTAAATTTGAACAAAATTTACCGCGCTTACAGAATATCGTAAGGTATATTATTAAAAGAAAACTACAGTCCCTGGCCATATTATTAGACGCATTTTGATTTTTTAATAAGATATAAGTTAGAAGAGAGAAGAAAAGCTACTAAGTTTACTCGATTAAAATAATTTCGGTGTCAATTGGCGCTTTTACTTCTGCAACCTTCTGAGGTGTCAAATCATTTGTTTTGCCTATAATTTTTGTAAACGATATTAATATTTTTCGCGCAAAAATTTCTTTTTCTGTTAGTAAGCAGGAAATTTGAAATTTCAAGTCACAAGTAAATAAAAGTAAAACTAAATTTCAACTGGCACATACATTGAAAACACGTCTGTTGCCATTATCAATAATGCAACTAACGCGGGTTCATACTTGTTCAAGGTTATTGTAACAGCCAAGTGAAATGACGTCACAAAAAATATCTTTTATAATAGAATTTTAGAATAATGTTTCCTTAAAACATAATTTGATCGATGGATGAGCCGTATTATAAAGCTAATCCTTGGAAGTCAGTGAAATGTAAAACATTAAGGTGCGTCTAATAATATGGTCAAAAACTGTAAATGTGTAAATTGGTATAATTGTATAATAATATAATTGATAAAATGTATAAATCGTCAGTTTTTGTACGTGAAAGTGATGATAATGAACATTTCTCGGCAATTAGAGAACAGATATTAGTCGTGACATATTTTGGTTTCAAATTCAACATCTCTCTTCGCAATATAAATAACTTCGCTCATTAATTCTCTAATCCTCGATAATCTTCTTTGGGTATTTTATATTATAGTACCGCGTGTTTCATAATATACAGTTTTTATAATATTATAACATGATGTATAATATGTATTCATTAAAATATATAATAGTTTGGCCTTTATTACCTTACATGATTTTAATGCATATCTTAATTGAAGTATAAACAATTGCTTTCATTTGTTTGAAATTGTTAGGCCCTGCCGTCAGAATTTCCATCCAACGAAATTAAAACAGAATTAGAACAGAAACTCAAGGATACCTTTGAACGATTGAAAGAACGGTTGGAAAAAGTCAAAGAACACGGATTCAAGGATTCTACACCGGTTGTTTATAGTGGACAAGGCGAACAATATTTATTGAATGATATTTTTAAGGGAGTCTTCAAAATAGTAGATGAAACCCTTCAATTTTCTCAAGATGTGATAAATGAAATTCAAGAATGTTTCCGAGAATTGGGACCTAACAAGTACACTGCTGAGACAAAAGTTGTCGGTTTGCTTGACGATATAAAGTCTAAGTTGCAAGAGGAATGGAATAAGATTGAAAAACAGATAAAAGAGATGAAGGATAAAGCTGAAAATGTGACGAAAGATATATTAGAAGAAGGTAAAAATTGGGTGGAAGATACGATGAATCAGGGTAAAGAGAAGATCAACGAGTTTCGTGAAAAAGCTAAAGAAATCGTCGCATGAGGCTAAGAATAATCTTGAAAAAATGAACGAAGGAATGAAGAAAATATTTAACTAAATAAATTGGGCAATTATTCTATGTTAAAAGATGCTACGAGAAGATTAGACACTTGTTCAGATAATTAATCTTAACTTCGAAATATATTTTAAGTTCATTCAAAATTGATGTGTTCAGAGACTCCGTATGCTTTTAAAAATGCCGAAGACTCTTGCATTCCTCAGAAAATTTGAAAGTTTCGAAATTTGAAAGTTGCGAGCACTACCAATGTAAAGTGATGTAACAATTATCGAAATTATCGTTTGCTGAAAAAGAAAAAAAATATACACGCATTAACACCACGATGGAATCGACTTCGGTCTCAACATGTATCACGAACAGTTAAATAAACATATTTAAGCATTATAACAGAAATGTTTCAATCAATCCATTCCACATCCTGTACCTTGGAAGAGAAAAGAAAAAAACTGATGTTCATGTAGAAATTTCAACTCAGTTTACATGGAAGTATACTAGAAACATTCTTGGAATGTCCTGCTAAAATGTTAAGATATTCTACTCATGTTTTTAAGGAACATTATTGGCATTTCCATTCCTGGCACCATATGAAATATATCTAGAATATTTCAGTGGGCTGTCCTTCGAATAAACATTATTTTCTGCCATAAATGTTGCATCTGTCATATTCCAATTGAATATTAATAAAACATTCAATAACATGCTCTCACGTGTTGTATATACCCTAATGAGTGCGCCTTAAAGGGAGAGTTAAAGAAAGGCTAATATAATATAATATAATATAAAAGTTATATAAAAAGTCTACGCAGTGTTTAGAAGTATTTGCAATATCATATGCATTCTGTTATCTTTCTCTCCCATACATACATGCACTTCTCTCTCTCTCTCTCTCTCTCTCTCTCTCTCTCTCTCTCTCTTTCTCTCTCTCTCTCTCGATTAAAAAAATTGATTATAAATAATATATTATATATTTATTATTTTCTATTTACACGATAGTTATTATCCTAATTGGCATTAAAATATAAAATATAACGAAATATTCCATAAGAATACCACTGATGTGAAAGTAAAAATGTATAAAACACATGTTTATTGAATATTTCATAGACATTCTTCTCGGGATGTATTTTATTAAATTATTCCAGAGTGTTTCTTAAATATTCTTAAAAAAATGTTCCATTAATATGCCAACGGAAATATTATTTGTAAAAAGCTCTAGAAATATTTCTATAAGATTATATCTAAAATATTATTCCCTTATCTCACTTGGCATAAAGTTAATTTTATCTCTACTGTCATATCAGTGGCATTCTCATGGAATATTCCGCGACACTCCCATGTCAATTGGGAAGATCGTTTGAACGTAAGAGAAGGAGGCAGGAAGAAAGCATTCGTCACAGCGATATTCCGTGTTCAAGTGAAAATGGTACAGGTCAAGGTTTGCGATTACCGACAACGTCGGTTGAATAGATAACGGTGTGTACGTAGCCACTGAAAGATTATACAAGCATTGCAATCGGAGTATGCAAATGTTGCGAATGATACGTGGACGGTGAGAATGAATTGAAATTCAACTTGTTCACGATGTATGTGTGTATGCAAACGTACGCACTTGCATATGAAAGTAACATCTTCTGATCTAAAGTCAGAATCGACACGCAAAAAATATTTCAACTCTTATCCCTGTCTGTTTCAAAAGTATACAGACCAATTCTAAATTTTCAAATTTACTTTTATTGCAACTATTTAAAATTCAATTCCGATATCGGTTTAGTTTTGATTGTTTCGTAGATTTACTCGTATTTTACATAACAAGTGTCTAATTTACATTATAAAAAATATGTAACGACTAAAATTAATTCTCACAATTGCATATAAGATATCGAATAAACAACGTACGAAAGAGTATATAATCTCTGCCCTGCGCTTTCAAAAAATATGCGCGTCAACATGGTGTCAGCAGTTTTTGTACGTATGCATAAGTATCCTCGTCTAGAGCATATCTTTATCTGGGTGATGTAATGTAAGTCTCACGGAGCAAAGAGCGGATGTAAAATTGATAATAATTTTGATCTCGCCTTGAACCTTAATCCCCTCGTCGCGCCATGTGAAATCCGCCATCGATTCGTAACGAATCATGTTACAAAGCACGTGTCGCATTTACTTCACGAAAGATATTTCGTCTGCTGTAAAAGTAAAATTTCTATTTAATTCGGATCGTAGAACTCTCGTCGATTCTCGTGTCGGGAGTTATTCTCACGCGGGAGAATTCCTTCTTAAAACCACAGTGCAAACGTTGTGAGAGATCACGCGTCGGAAGGTTCAATATTTATCTCGGTTAGGAGATTTTCTACCAAGGTTTCCCCTGCTCGTAAATTAACTAAATGTCGCAAAAAAAGAATGAACTCACCGATAAGATGTTTCTTATCGCGTTAACTCGTGAGAATAAACCCGGACAAAAAGGACCAGTGAGAACAACTTGGGATGACAAAGCCTTTGTGTATTCGTTAACGAAAATTGAGAACCAGATCATCAGTTACAGAGGTGTACGACGTGTCTGATCTTACGACATTAATGCGTTGACTTACGTTCATGCGTAAATTATGAGTTGACGCATGAATATGTAACACGACACCAAAAAAAAATTTAGTTTGCTGTGCAAACATTAGTACCTGTTGCTCCGCACGATTAATCATCGGCTCGGAAAACACCTCAATTACCAACATCAGGGCGATATTAATATCTTTTCAAAAGATCATTTATTAATGGCAATTAGAGTTTATAAAATGTACAGAATATTGATCGAAGCAATATTTTTCTCTAATTCTTACAGTTAAAATTAATTTTAGCGGATTCCTGGCGGTTATAGTTTCATTGTACGTAATAGTTAAACGTAGCAGTTGAACAACATCATGAAACAATAAATCTCCCTCTTATTTTTTCTTTCTTTTCTCATTCACTTTTGCAATTGTGATGTATCTTCAGAAACAAAATCTTACGAATAAGCCCGAAATTGAATTCGTATTGCGAAAGAACATCAATCCCCTCCGCTATGTCAATTTCCGGGAATTCCGGGTGTTTCGGGGCGACGACAAGTCCAGATAGAGAAAACTGGAGATAAAGGGGAACGCGAGAGATGCGAGGCACCGCAGGTCGTTGTCGTTAAAATGAGATAATATGCACTTTGCCCTCTTAGATAAGAAACTCCTATAAAAGGGACTACGTCGTCCATTCTGTGCATCAGTCGTTTCCCGAGTTAACCGAGGATTCCATTACTTTCACGAAAGGAAACACCAGCAAGATGAGGTGCATACTCGCAGTTGCATTCGCTGTCATCCTGATCGCAGCTGAGGGCAAGGTCTTGCCGGCTAGTAATGTTGAGAGCCAACAAACTGCCACTCAACCCTTGCAATTGTCCGATTACATAACGGAGGCCCAAAATGCGATCAGTAATGTCGGCACTCAGATTCGGGAGAAACTTGCCGAGCTCAACTTGCCAGACAACGAGCAATTCGTTAACACCGTTAAAGAGCAAAGCAATACCTTCGCCAACAACATACAACAATTCATGCATAACATAACCGAAGAGGTGAGTGAAAATATATTCGTCAAAGTATGTTTTCCACTTTTTGTTTGAATCTTTTGGTTTCGTTGTGACGTCGGATTCGAAGTGTTTGATTAATTCAAACGATTAAAATTCCTCTCTTCGACGTCGGTTCGAGTAGTCTTGTTTCATTGAAAGTCCGTCGTTATTTGTTTCATTGCCGCTGCCATGCCACATTAAAGACTGGCTTATTTGTTTGCAGTTACGGAACGTGAGTTCTCATACCTAGAGATTATGTGTGTTAAATATTCGAAAAATAAATCTAACATCGCCTTTCACATCGAGGACTCTCTCTATAAGTTACGGATCGCAAATTCGCAAGAAATGCTGATCAGCTTGTCGATACTCGAAATTGATCCACGAGAAATAATTAGTACGGATATGTCGCAAAAAATAATTCATAAATTGCGAGCGCAAGCAGATTGGCAATGCAAGAGTCTGCAAAATTTTATTTTACAAAATTACTCTTGTATTAGAGCTACGTCGATGAATATTAGTGATTTTTGTTGCATAAATTCGATAAACAAAATAATTCGCGCGCTTCGTTAAAATGACCAGCGTATAAAGTCATATATAGCTTGAAATTAACAGAAACGTTTTACATACCATTCACCGTAAGTACGATTACGCGCGCGGTTGTATAAGCAATCTCGCGATCATAGGTCAACGAATTGAACAGTTCGGACGGTATAGATAATGAAAATAAGGAACATTACTATCTCGATTTCCTCCTTCTCGTATTGCCTCCGTAATAATCTCTGCTGCAAATTGAACGAGTTTTTGGGTGAGACGAATACGACACGTCTATTCGATATCATGCGAGCTTTTAATTTTCACCTCGCCTACCAACAATTGAACAATGCCATGGGTGTGAGGTTTCGCTGCGAAACACTGAAGCCTCAGTAGAGCAGATTGAAAAAGAAGCGCCCTCCGAGATTTGGGAGACGTGTGGCTTATACGCACGGTGAATCATTATTTTCAGGTGAAGAGCAAGACGCCTGAGCTGGAAAGTTTCGTGGAGAGTCTCAAAACTAAGATGAATGAGATAGCCGAAAGTGTCACTGTTAATCCGGAAACCACGGAACAAATAAACCAGCTGCGTACGAGACTTCAGGAAGGTTTCCAGAATCTGGTAACAGAGACTCAGAATACCGCCAAGACCGTCGGCGAGAGTACTGGGAAACTGCAAGAAGATATCGCCAAGATTACTAAAAATGCGATCGACATCGCTGTACAGGCTTCTCATAACTTGAACGAGCAGTTGCAGCACGCCGCGACACAGAATGCGGGCGCATAGAGTTAAGATACGATGATGTTTTATAAATTATTCGCGTGCGAAACACTCCGAACATGTATGCATAGAGAGAACGGAAATTCAGTCAGTCAGCGAACGTAATCTCACATCATATCATAATCAGGCCGAGCAGATGATGAGTAGTTTTCAATAAAAGTATTTGACCTTTAATAAAAGTATTTTATTTCCTCTTGTTTTCCTTTCTTCTTTTATAAGCTCTTATATTGCGACTAATACTAACGAGTTCTTTAATATTCATTCACATTTCTTTACTTTTAATTCTTTTTATTTTTTCATTATGCTGTGTTAAAGATTATTTTTATTACTATTAAGATATTGTAATGCAGCCAATATATATATATACACTAACTTCATTAACGCGAAAATGAAAATACTCCGGTACGTCAAGTACGGTTCTCGAACGGCTACCGCCACATCGTGATGTTTACCAGATTTCGCACAAACAGGCGATGTATTCGCGAACGCGTTCGGGAATTCTCACGTACGATTTTATTGATGCCGTGGAACGAAACTTCCGTGCCCAAATCATCGACACAATGAGAGTATCATCAATGTCATACGCTTCAGATCATTTTGTACGCGCGATACCTGATGTGAATGTTAATAAATTGATCTAGAATTCAAATACAGCAATTGAAACTCATAACTGATTGCTCCACTAATAAACAACGTAGGTTGATGTAAAGAAAAGGAAAGAAAGGAAGAGAGAGAAATAAATAAGTCCGTAACAACGACGAAGAATAAAAAATTTCATACCTCACTCGTATCTTGCAGTGAATATGAAACTCGCGTTACTCTACTTACGTCATCAAGTTTAATAATAGGTGAGACAAGTAATTATACCTAATCAGCAAATTCCACCTCGATTTCGCATTATCAACGTGGGTCAATGAAACCCACTCACGACAAGAGAAACTCGCCAATCCGATATGACCTAAATTATAAATTCACACATATTGAGTTCGATTCGTCAGTTCTTAAGCTAACATGAAGAGTCTTGCAAAATTTCGCCAACACAGAATCTATTATTTATTGCATTTTAATTTTGCTAACGAAATTAATGACCTTTCCCCATTAAAGTAATACAAACGTATTAATGAAGAAGGGGAAAGTTTTTCGTTCAACTACGTAACATTGTTGCATGTGTGCACATTCGTCTCTTATAAAAGGACCGATTGTGATCGAATTGCTTCATTATCGGTTGAAGACTCGGTATTGAATCGATGATTAATCAGTCCGTCAAATTTATTCATATCAATCATCGATTCTGTAAAGTATCAGTTATTGTATAAAATTACGCGATTACTGTTACATTTAAAACTTTGTTACGAATAAGTGCACATTTCGTTAAAATGAATAGATTCTTCCTAGTTATATGTATGGTAAGATCAAATATGTACACAGAATGAAGAAATATTCTATGAAAACCACTTTGGACGATCTACATATATTTGCGACAATATCTAGAGATATATTTCTGTATATATATTTTTTACGATCAAAAATTCTACACGTAAGAAAACATTTATATTATATGACACGGTAACATTATTTCAAGTAGTATTTCTGTCTGAAATTATAAATCGTTCAAAGTGATCGATAAAAAAATGTAAGAGATTGTTTCGATATTAATTTATTTAATAATGTTGTGTTTTTGCGATAATAATTTCGCCAAACAGGTGCTATTTGCAAACGCTATTGAAATTTCGAGAAAGGATAGCGCTGAGAAGTTGTCCGTGAAATTATCGAAGAAGAAATCGCAGTCACAATGGTCACTAAATGGAATCACATCCGACGATGAGAGATCCGCAAGAATAAACTACGGATTCGAAAAAGTGGTCCAGTTTGTCAACGTTTTGGATCATATGGACAATTTTCTTTACGACAAAGCGAAGAACTTCATTCGTAAGCTCAACGTGATGTACGACATGGGCGGAAACGAGAGATACCGTAGAACTTCTTTTAAATAATAACAAAAAAATCTCACACCAATTAAAATTAAATTGTGAGAAGCTTCTATTCAAAATATAATATAAAATCAGCTGATACTAATTTGTTCTTTTATATTTATTAACTTTTCTTTGTTTATTTTTAATTCTTTTTGTTTTTTCATTATGCTGTATATTAAATATTATTTTCATTATCATTAATTATTATATCAACAAGCAAATTGCCATAAAAAATATATATATACCATTTTAAACGTAAAATTTAAGTTTTAATTTAATAAATAAATTTTGTAATAAAATGTGAGATTTTTAAATTAATCTATTTTTTCCATTTTCCAATACATTTATTGTAATTATTATTATTATTTGACACTGTAAGCTTGTATAGAATTTTTATAATATCAATAATAATATTTATAATTACAATAAATAATAATAATATTACATTATTTATGTGTATATATACACATACGCACACACACAAACACACACATATTGATAAACTCAATGTCAAAAAATATATATCGTCAATGTTATATATGTTTCATAATATTTAGACTTCTCTTGGATACACAAAACGCTTAATTTCAGAGATGATATTAGCTAGTAATCTACTGTTTAGAGAAATATTATTGTTATTATTATTACTAATCGTATGAGGATTTGACGAGCGCTGCCCCACGCGTTACTTATTGTTTAGAGAAGTATTATTATTATTATTAGTAATAATAATAACTATTAATACTAATTATTATTTATTAGTAATTAGTAATAATAATAACTATTAATACTAATTATTATTAGTAATAATAATAACAATAATACTTCTCTAAACAATAAGTAACGCGTGGGGCAGCGCTCGTCAAATCCTCATACGATTTTACTAATACCATCCTTAAGATTGAATGTTTATGTCTCCGAGAGGAGCTTAGATGCTATGAAACGAGAGAAGTAGGGTTGGCAGTCGGCGAAATCCACGAAAACGTGCGAACCGTGCGCAGACCTGATATACAATAATAGAATAAACTATGCGATACATTAGTTCACGGTCTTTATAGTAATTTATTTGACTGAGACAAACAATTCAGAGCATCTGATAAGAGACAAAAAGAAAAAAAATATGAAAGAAAAAAAGAATAAACAAAAATAGAAAAGAAGCATAGGAAGAAATAAGAAAGAAAAAACAAAGAGGGAACAAAGAGAAGAAAAAGAATTGGACGAATCAAACTAACAACTCTTGAAGCAAATACTTAGATAGTAAAATTAAAGAATTTCTTCTCGCATTGAAAATGCTAAGGACAAGGAGTAAAAAAGTATGTACAAGAAAATTGATTTTTAACATATTGATTTTATTTTTTGATGTTTTTTTTTTAAATCTCTTCGATATAAAATTTGTCTAACGATGCCTCACACACTCAACTACCTCTCTCAGACAAAGGTCGTTTTCGCTTCCGCCTGTTTATATACACGACTAGGTCTAAGGCCGTAGTTGTTTAACTTTCTTTTCTCAACGACATCGAGCACCTGCACTTTATTAATAAGAGGTACATAATTAACGTCAAGAAATCAAGCGCATCGCGCCAATTTTCGCGCATTTGTCAAATCGTACGTTAATATGCTTTTCATGTCTGAGTCGAGAAGAATTGGTCTTCATCAGCAAAGAAATCATGCATAATTTACATACAAACAATTAACAAAAATCGATGTTTTAACAAAAAGTTGTGCAACACAAAAATATAGAAATATTTATAATTTGGATTTATATAATAACAAAGCTGTAACGCATATGTAATATCATATATTATCTAAAAATTTTGGAAATACAGGGCGTTAAAAAAAGAGGAGACCAAACTGGAAAACGGATATCGGCGGATTATTCTACGTCATTATTTATAAAACGGCATTCCTACATATTCAAGGACTCTGGATATTAAAATAAATTCTGAAGATATTTAAGCAGATTCCGATCATCATTATTGTATTTCGTCCAAAGAGGAAGGAAAGGATGGTCTATCGTGACTATCTGATAAGTTCGCTAATATTTTTCGCCCTCTTCTTCGTTAAAACACGATAGTAAGATATTTTTTCCTCCATTGAATCCTATCTCAGTTCAAGTAGTGATTGACAAGATATTCAGTGGCCAAAGGCAAAGTCTTGACGTACCAAAGAAGCTTGCGTACCACAGCTGCAAATCTTTCTTCCACGTTGACATTTTCCATCCCTAAGCCCTATGATTCAGGTGAGATTTGATCTCACTTGCGATTTCGGCTTCTCATTCAGTCGAAGGGTGCAAGGAGAGTTCAAAACGTCGACTAAACCCCTATAATCCTGTTTGTTTTTGTGAATATTTCATTAACGTCCCAACTATATTCTGAAAGTAAATAACTTCACATATAATTGAATATTTACCAGATCTTCGTGTGCAATAAGTTTGTAGACTTACAGCAGCACCATCCAGCTCTAAATCAGCCCCGTTCATAGTACTTGAGGCATCCCAAGGCTCCTTCTCGCCGATTTAAGTTATTAAATTTACTAGTGGCTGTATCCGTTTAAAAAGTATCTCTTATTACGTAATCCAAGTGCACATTCTTCGCAGACACGGTAACGATTTCTTGCGGCTTAAAAATTAATTTTTCGGCTAAGCTATCTCTCCACTTACTTCGTCCAAACTGTCCACACGATGTGTCATTTTCGGTACTACGTCAAAGAAGCAGAACTCGTAAACGATCAATATAGAAATTAATTTTTTAAACCGCAAGATAATATTTGTAAATATACATATATATATGTACATATATTTATTAACATATATGTATATATACGTATACATATGCACTCGATAGAAAATGTATTTACGTTCAATATAAGTTACACTTTTTACTGGCTTCCAATTAAAAAATAAATAAATAGTTTAAATATCCGAAGGAAAATTGCGTCTGTTAAGATTATGTTGATTAAAATTCTAGTTTAGTAAATACTTTAGGGCGTTGCCTTTGATCACTAAGTATCTTATCAATCACTATTCTACGTTAGACCACACAACGTTGAAGGGAAATGCGATTTCTCTCATCTTTGTTTCACTATCGTTGAAAAAGAAGTACAGTGACAGTTGTTTCGCAAGACTGATTTGACCGAGTAACTATTTTTCTATAGAATCCTGCAATAGCAATGAATAGTGCAATCATTTGCTGCTGATACGCCGATTGTCCTGAGTAAGATATTTAGAGCAATGTGAGAATGTAGATATTAATGACTCGTTGCAGCCACTTGCACTTGAAATTTTATACTCGATGCACCGTGTGTATTGACACTAGAAATTCCCGAAGTTTGGCTCCAGATTTTTTCAACACTCTGCAGAATATGCTTTTACGCATCGTCACAGTGTGATTTCAAACAACATCGTCTCCCTAACGATGCAACTCTCATTTCACTCGGTATTTATTGTGTTGGAACATTATATGAAATACACACAGCAAGAACATAGATTGTATCAAGCCAACTGGGGCAAAATATTGTTAACAATCGTTCCTTTTATTTCTTTCCTTTTTGAAAATGATCAGTCGGAGTTCACATGTGTTTAGATATGCGAATTTTGTACCTCTTAGATGCTTACTGTTCGCGACAGTATCAGCACCATTTTTTAACAATAGCGTGGTTTATCGGGATGCAGATGTCGTATCGCATGCTCGGCGTAGTCATTCACATTCGGGGATCCTGCGCGTATCAACATCTCGTAACAAAACTCATTATCAACAAACCGCAGAATCGCGTACTCCGCTAGTGTTACCCTGCAGCCGCGCTCCAACTTCGTTTATTATCGCTCGTTTCGGATCTGATCAGAAGTTGCGACTTTCAAAAAGTCTTCTCTTTTTTTCCTTTTCTCTTTTTCATTTTTTTTTCTTTTTGCGTACTCGTCTCGTTCTTCTTTGCAAGTGGAATTATCGCGTATGAAAGCGCGAGCAGAAAAATATGCCATATACTTCCATATATATATATATACTCTATCTTTACGTAATTTCGATAATTATTTCGCGTATAAAAGGAAAGAGAAAGGAAAGAAAAACATTCGCGTGACCGCTCGGAAATCTCAGCGTAATATTTGGAATTTGTTTTCCTTTCTTGAAGGTACATGCGTCGTCGAAGTAGTGCGAACTACGTTTGTTGAGGTAATATTGAAACCTTTTGAATTTAAAATCTATGTATTAAACGAGCGTACTCTCCTGTATCCTCCAATATATTAGGCACTACGCAATAAAAATGCACGATATAAAAGAAACCTCAGATCAATTTCTTTCTGCATCTGGCATATTAATCCGATAAAAATAAACTTGCGGAAGTTTTACAGGGAATGGCGTGATGTTAAACAATCGTTTCGCAATCTTAAAATTTGATTGAAACAATCAATGGTCAAATTTTTGAACGACTCAATAATACAAGCATAGGTCATCCTTTCGTTAATCGACCTACATGTGAAGGGGTAAGTTACTTTCATGATTGCAACAGTAGGTTAAAACCATTTTTTTAAAACATCATGCGGCGTATCATCGTTTTGTACCGACTAACTAGCTCAGTATATAAATTGTTCTTTTGTCCTCTCGCTGTAACACAAAGTAAACAAGACAATTTCAGATCGCTTATCGATATAGAAGATTGGTAATTGGCTGCCGTTTGAATGGTGACGCCGACTAGCGGCAATACGAATGAATCCCTCCAAGAGGCCACTGGTGGATCATGGTGAATCTTTCTTTCGGGCAATTCTCGCGTCATCATGAAAGTAACTCAATTTCGAAAGTTTTATTCTCTATCTCAGCAGAATACTAGCGATCTTCTTTCTCTTCGATTAATTCATGTTGCAGCTACTGATTATGTGGCAGAATGACTGGTATAGTTTGCTGCGCTCCCGGGGGCGGCTGTGGCGGCAGGTATTGCATGTGCTGTGGCGGGATCGGAATATGGGGCGGAATAATGGGGCACATGATTGGATAACTCGGAGCGTGACCCTGAGGTGGTGGTTGTGGGTACGTGGGCTGTGGAGTGCCGGGTGGATTATAAGCGCCCGGCGTGTGTGGTTGATTGGGATTGGCCGGGGACGGTGTTTGGCTAGGTGGCTGTTGCGCGACGTGAGGGTGCGGATGAGTGTGCGGGCCCATGTATTGAATACCGGGGGCTTGCGGTCCCTGCGAATCATGATGGTGATGATACGGCGTGGCCATGTGCGGTGGCGGCGCCGGTGTCTGGACCATGCGCACCATTTGCTGGTACGTCGGTTGTCCCGGATAAGGCACCTGGAATGGAGGGTGCAACGGAGCCGGCGCCAGTAACGGCTGTCCCGTTGCAGCGGCCACCTGCATCTGCGATGTTATATCTGGCGCGCGATGTGGCATCATTTGCACTGTGAAAAACCACACGTGACTAACTCACCTCCTTGGTATGTAGAGCAGTTCGAAAAGATTTAAACTTGCGTTCGAGCCGTTTGAAAAAACGTCCCGTACATCTTTGAATACTGACCCTTTCGGAACCTCGTCACTTGTTGGGCAGGAGGTTGGTTGAAAGCCGGCGGTGGTTGATTAGTCATCGCATACACGGGCATGACCATAGTCGCCGGTATAGTCGCTCCTGTATACTGCGGAGTCTGAGGTGTATGCGGTCGACTAGGCGTCGGTGTGCTCGGGGACCTCTGCTCACATACATTCGCGTACATTCATTTAATCAAGTTTCAGCGAAGATACTCGAGACGTTACTCACCGGTGTGAACGGCTTCGCGTTTGGATTAAATTCTTTAGCGTTGGGATTTAAAGTTGACTTCTTGAAAGCGTTAGTTATCTTGTCGACTCCGGCTTCCGGTGGCGACTGCTGCACCACGGTCTGCGTGTTCGTTTGCGGTGGCGGCGGCTGTTGCTGCGACTGCTGCGGCGGGCTCGTAGATCTTACTGGGCCAGGTGGCGGCTTACTGGTAACCACTGGCTCCTCCGCTACAGCCTGATGTTGCTGGTGAGAACTACTGTGCGTCGGCGGTTGCTGCTGCGGACTCGTATGTTGATGATGAGTCTGAGTAGCGGAATGTACCTCCTGCTGATGCTGCTGTTTCCTGGAGATTTGCGGGGTGTCAGGAGGCCCTTGCGACTCCGCCAACTTGAACTCCGTGGCGAACTGTCTCAGCTCTGAATGCTGCTCGTCTCTGCCGCGTGGTGTCGAAACCTTGTGCGAATCAAACGAAAATATTCGACTCATTACGATTTCCAAAAGACGACGCAGAGAACGCACCTTCCTGTGATCCGATTTATGCGTCACTATTTCGCATCGCTGTCCCTCCACGGAATTCTGTTGCGACGTGTGCTGTTGATGAGAAGACTGTTGTTGCTGATGCGAAGACGCAACGTTAGACTGAGGGAACGGAGCTGGCGGTGCTTTATCGGCTTGATAGACCTGTTGCCTCCCGGGACGTTCACGTTTCTCCGTATTTATCTTACTCGAGGGGGTTTGTTGTTGTTGCGGCGGGAAGCCCACTTGCGGCATAGAAGGTGGTTGCGCTTGGTTCTGCTGAATCCCTTTATCGAGAGGACGCACGATTTTTATTGAATGTTCGATCTTACAGAAGTTTCGCTAATAATGTATACCTTGCTGCGATTGTGTGGTCGGTGGAGGTACAAACGGCGGCGGTGGATTATTATACGTAACAACCACTCCGCTAGGCGGCATGCCCATGTTCAAGGATACCGGATGTTGTACCGACGCATGAGCGGATTGTATTCCGACCGGTATATTCGACTGTGGAACGCTAACCGCGGACGAAGACGGTTGGCTGTAGACATTCTTATCGTTCGTAGTCCCTGGCGAAGACGGGGGTTCGTTAGACCTCATTAATTTGCCGGTGTTGCCGCTCTTCTTCTTCAACGGCGGCGGCACATATTTTCCTTCGGTAGGTCTTGCCTGAAAGCGTCCAATGAGATCAGACCGAAGGTAATGATTAGAAAAAAAAAAAAAAAAAAAAAAAAAAAACTTACCACAGCTGCGAATCTCTCCTCTTCGTCACCGTTCTCCATTTCTAACCTAGCTCTATGATTGGGCTGAGACTCAATCTCATTTGCTATTTCAGCTGCCTTTTGCTCCTGCTCCTTGTAGTCCTTCGTATCTTTGCGCTGGAGCTGAAGCGTATAACCAACTAAAGAAGGTTCAAACGTCGTTTGGACCCCGTAATCCTGCTCGTTTTTGCGGAACATTTCGTTAACGTCCCAACCATTCTGAAATCATAGTTCTACATAGCTCCTTGTCCACCGGATACTTGCATGCGAGGTGAGTCTGCAAACTTACAGCGGCACCGTCCAGTTCTAGGTCAGCCCCGTTCATAGTGCTCGGAGCATCCCAAGGCTCCAGTTCTTTCTCACCGATTAAGCCATTGAATTTACTAATAGCTGTGTCCGTTTGGAAAGTATCTCTTATGGCATAATCCAGGTCCACATTCTTCGCTGACATGGTGACAATGTCTTGCGGTTTAAAAATTAATTTCTCAACTACGCTATCTACACTTATTTTGCCCGAACTGTCTACACGATGGGCCATCTCCAGTACTACATCAAACTGACTGGAAAACGTCCTAAAGATACCTTCATATACTGAGCCATTTTGTGTTTGAATCTGCGATCATGATACAAAAGTCACATTGCAAATTCAATATTTTCATCATTAATATGCAAATGTGCCCGTGTATGTACCTGTACTGTATTGCCAACATGGCTAGTGATGGCATGCATGAAATGAGCATTATTGTATACTCCCTCTGCTGCGACGCATCTCTCCTGTGGGCCACGAGCTCGCGGAGATCTGCAAAGATCACCGATCAAGAAAAATCTTATTATCGTCGCCATATCAAGATATTGTATCTATTGCGATCACGAGTCATCCTCCCAGTTCTTTGTTGCAACCTTGCTATCACCTATTGCCATCAAGTACAAATCCGACGATAAAATAACAAGTGATTTTAATAGTAAAACAATCCAAATAGCATCAATTGACAGAATTACATCAATGAATACGTAGTATAAATCATCATACCGAGTTTTTCCGCAACTCATAGATGTACACGTATTTCGAGTCTTAGAATGCAAAAAATTTATTCGAAAGGAATGTTGTTTGCTTATTTTTTACCACTGTTATGGTATTTTAAACGTAATTAATTCCCACAGATTGGCGCGCGCAAGAAGGAAAGGAAAAAATGTGAGTTAGAGGTGAACTCGTAAAGCGACTCTCATTCCAAGCGGAAGAATGACGTGAAAATTGACGTTGAACCTGTTGTTGTTGGAACGATTCTTCCTCTTGCTGTTCATTCTGCCCGCCGACGACGGTTCTTCGCCAGTGAACGGTGGGTTCCTGCCGCCGGTTTGTTGGGGGCCTTCTCGTTTCCTAGTGGGGACCGGAATTTTGACTACTTTCCCGGTAACTGTTTGACGTCGAAAAAATATGTCCTTATGCCCGTGACACAGGAGCGACGTGTGCAGCTGTGCCGCTGCGCGCGTATCCGCTTACGTCCGCGACGCTTTTACGCGGCGACCGCGTGCAACTTGACAACGCGCCGTGATCTCGCGCGGCTTCGCAGGTGCGATCGGTTACGGAACGAGGAAGAGGAGGTGGAGGCCGTCGGGTCCGCGGGAACTACCAACATTCACGACGGTTTTTAGGTTATACTCGAACGAGTCCGAATATGAATTTGCGTACGGTGCGTGAATGCCGATCGCGACGTGTCAGGTCAGCGCGCAGTGTGAATTCGTCACTCGGTAGCTCGACGGCTTTCAACTAGGCGGGCGAGACGCGATCGCGGCCAGGAATATGCAATTCGTCGCTCAAGACGGATGCAGACGCGCGTACGTAATACGTAAACGGCGCGACGGGGGAAGGAACGAACTGACCCGACCGTTCACCACGGTGGTGCCTCGATAAATGATATCCATAGCATGGCGTCCATGGCAAGGGCGAAGTGCACAACATTAATGCTTTCACTCGTGAAAATGCGCCCTTAAGGCGCGTCGCGAGATTTGCTTCCCTCTCGCTGCCACCTAGGCGCGTTTGCGCATTTGGACCGAAGTGGGTACATACTTGAGATAAGACTGCAAATTTTCTAGTCCTTCGAGAATTCAGTTTTAGTCTAATTTACTTGGGTTATATTTATTAATTATGCTTGTAGAAAGCGATATTGCATTGAAGCAAAACATTACTTTCATCAGTTTCATTTCAGCAATTTTTTTTCTTTTTAAGTCACGCAGTTTTCAGTTTTATTTAGTAAATTTTATATCTAATATTTAAACATTTTTTTATCACTTTTCAACAGTATATTTTAACTTATATATCACAGTAGTTTACATTTCATAAAGAAAATTCATTTTTTTATACATACTTAGTAATTTTCCAATAACTTTCATTTCATCGGTCTCATAGTACTTGCACTGAAATGTTTCCATCGGGCCGTCCATAAATGCCCCCCATATACGATACCCCATATTGCAGCAGCATTTGTACGTCACTGAGTACTGACAACTGCGCATGCGCGAGTATGAAAGTTAGATCTTTCTCTTTGTTCCTTCACTGCCATCGCTGTGCTTCAGCCGTTATGACACTCGAATGTTTTGAAACTGAAATTTAACACTGAATAAAGTATTTTTGGGAAAGAAGATTGGAAGGAAAAAATATTGTACCGTATACCCCAAAGGAGACAGACATCAGTGAAAAAAGAAGAATTGTGTTGCAAGATGAGTATCGACGGTAGAATGTTTTACAACAAGTTGTGTGATTTGCGCCCGGACTTGTCTTCGAAAATTACGCCGGAGATGCTGAACAAAGTTTGCGATGATCCTGGTACACAACCTTTTTTGGAGTGGTTCTGCAAGAACGTGAGCCTTGTCAATGTTCTGTCCAATGAAGAGACAAAATTGTAAGCGATCTTTCACATAGTTGCAGTTGTATCAAAGTAAAATTCTTATAGCTTTTTTTACTTGCAGAAAAAATGTATTGCAGGATACAGATGAGTGGTTAGAAGGTGAAGCATTGGATGCCGCATTAGAAGAAGCTACCAAAGACTGTCCAGATTTGCTGCATCTTGTCAGTTTGGATGATACACATAAGGAAGACTTGTTTGAGGAATATAAAACGTTAAAGGACTGTTGTAGAGAAGATGAAGACTATCTTGATTCATTGAAGCAGAGTGTAAAAAAATTGAAGTAAGAACTTTTGTAATTATACATATGAATACTCTTTGAGGTTATTCTAGTTAAATGATTCATAAGCATAAGTATTGTTGCAGAGAAATTAAGAACAAGCTGGACGATGATATTGAGGAAGCAGAAACCACGCTGGACAAAGAACGGATCGAAACAGAAAAATTGTATTACAACTGTAGTGTAGTTCTGAAGGAATTTGATAAAGACATTTGTCAATTCTCCAAAGATGTCGATGCTTTGTTAAATACATATGCTGATGCTGCTAAAAATGTAATTATTGCAGGCTTTTTAGTGATGATTCTGACAGTATTGGTCATTCTAATTATTTCATTTTCTTTTCTAGCAAGGTGATGCAGCGTTGCTGTCACAGATGCCCATAGACTTATTTCTTAAACAGATAGAACTTTATAATCATTATTTGGGTATCCACATAAGGAAACAATTTGGAAACGCTAACAACAAAGAAGAGCAGGATGAGGATTCTGATTATGCATCTCTAATAAACAACAGTAGGGAGAAACAGGTTGATGAAAGAATGCATGAATTGATTTCATGTAAGACAAAGTAAGTATTACTCGAGAAATATATGAAAAAAATATATTAATCACAATTTCTTTTGTACACAGTTTGACAAATTCTAAAATAGAAGAGATCAATGCTCACATTCAAGTAGAGTCCTACAAAGCAATGTTGCAATGCATTCAAGATATTTATAACGGCGGAGTCCTGAAGATACCTGGGGACGGTAAAATATGGTAAGTGTAAGATACAAAAATACATGTCGAGTTATCTCGACTTTGAGATTTAAATAACAACGTTATCCTAAGTATAATCAGAAAAGATAACAGCCTTTTCTATATTTAGAGATAACATTGTATTGTTTGCAAAACCAGGGATAAGATGCTGACGTTAAGTACGGAAAGGGACATTCTGGAGCAGAACGTCGAACTTTTGCGGGAGCAGCAGCTTTCAGAGATAGCGCAATTCGCGGAAATGGAGACGATGAAGATTCTAAAGAACGACGCGCTTGCTCGTCTCGAACGGAGGAAGACTCGTCTCGAGAAGCTCAAAAATTTATATCGCCTTGCGGGAGAGCACGGTCATGTTCACGTAGATTTGCTGTACATATTAATGGAAATGCAATATCGCAAGCTCCGCGAAGTCGCCGAATTCATCGCCGATGCTCGCTATTACATCACCACAGAATACAAGCTTTCTTCTACGAGATGCGTTAGTAATCAAGTTTATTTCTCTCGTTTTTCCGATTTATATCTCGGATTCTCAGATCGATTCCCTTAATGGGAATAATTTGCACTGTTCTTAAAAATGTTATATACGTGAAATGTATAGGAAATTATGCGACAACAACAAGACGAGTACGCGACCATTCTAATGGAATCTCCGAAAACTTGCAATGCGTTCAACCAAATCTTCATCAACATGATGGCCGGTAACTGTTCGGACCAGTCGCTTTCTTCTGCGTTGAAAAAATACGACGACTTGATAGTTGACAACGCAGACAAGAAATTGATGTTGGAAACATATCTGGATAATAAGATTGATAAATTAGAAAAATTGTAAGTGCTATTTCTGGTAGTAATATTATTTATTGACGATGAATGTTATTATTTTATTTAGTTTTTATGGTTTAGAGCAAACCTAGTTAACAAGGATTATATGGCCGAGATACAAAACGAACCAACAAATAACTTAAAGCCAATTTCATATCAAATTAGTACTGGTTACGAGGAAATGTCTGCTAACGTTCAAGAATTACAAATGGATGTTAATAGAATCAGAAACCAATTCAAAGAACGGATGGTATGCATATATAATAAACAGTGAAAAACCAATTATGTAGTACAATCAAGGAATTCAAGTGGGATTCGACTTCTGGCGGAGGCAATATTTTTCGCAATATTCTAAAGAATTAAATCAAGGCATAATGTAATTAACTGTTATTTTGGGTAAATTAATAAAATTATTAATAATAGGATACAAGATCAATTTGACGTGGAAGGAAAATTCTCTGCGTATGTTTAAAAAGTCTGACGAATTCATTTGGCGTGTGTATTGACACCGTTAAACATAATTTATTCCTGTATAAAATTATTTATTTGCACTAACAACCATGTTGGCTCTTACTGGCCTGTTTTTATATTCCTCGATTGTATATCACGATCAATTACATAATATTCACTAATAATTCTCATGTTACACGCAGAAGACCGACGCCAAACTTGAACGCGAGAAGGATATCTTATGGCAGAGATTCTTGGCAGACCCAGATACACTAAGAATGAAATATGAGGAAATAAAGCAAAGAGCAAATGATACTCACTTTGGCGATACTTTAGAGAGTAAGTCAAGTTCTTAAACTAATAGATTATACTTGGAATAAAATGAAACCAATACCATGTATTTCTGTAGTGTGACATCATAATTTTTATTATAATTCTATTAGGACATGATTTTTAATGTAAGGATAAATAAAAGATCAGAGTAAAAATGTCATGAGACGCGTTATTTCTTGTTAAGAGAAACCTTTGTTCATTCTCCTTTCGTTCTTACACAAAAAATCATTTTCTTCCTCACCTTGTAAGATCATCGCTTTTTATCAAATGTTTTTATCCAATGTTTGTGACTTGCGAACTATATACAGTACCGTTTGTATATAAAAATAGTAATGAAAAGGTTAACACCAACGATAAAGTGTGCTCTTCGCTCTGTTATCGACGCGATTGCCCACACTTACTATTATACACGAAATATCTCTACGTATCGAGTCGCATTTTTTTCACTTCTCGAATATTTTTGCGCCTCTAGGATGAAAACACTCGCTGCAATGTTTTCATGGACGTAATGCATTGGAGCGTTATGCCGTCGCGATAATGAATGATTCGTCTCAAGGACGCGCGTGCGCGCATGTGTGTGTGCACGCATGCTGTCCGCAACGAGATCGACGTGGTAGAGGTGCCAGAGTAACCTTGGTCCACGAGCATCGACGTCCTCTCTCCTACCTTTCCCCGCTCACAGTTACCCGCAGACCCACCTTTCGCAGCGAGAAGCTTTTTTTTCTCTATTTCAATAAAGGTTAGTCGCCTTATTTTTTGTAGCCAATTCAAATTACGGTGTGCGATTACGGGCTGAAAAAAGAAAGCATACGTTCTATAGATCCGCGCCAATGCGAGGCGAAAAGTTAGCGAGCGTTACGTCAGATATTTCTCGTGGCGGCTGGTAGATAGCGCCACCGGCCTCATGTTTACAAAAATTATTCGCAAAACTTTGCGAGTGTACATTACGGCAACAAATTTGCGCCTCAATACCGTAAGCCGTGTGCTCAGCCGGCGCGACACTTCACGCGTATAAACACGAGAAAAGGAGTCCCGTCGTGTTTCGATCGGCGTCGATATGCGCTCGCTTTCTCGGCGAGTGCAAACATCGAAACCGGAGAGGGAGGGAGAAAGAAAGGAAGGAAGGACTTTTAGGAGCGGAGAAGGCAGGTAAAGCGCGAGGGAGAAGAATACGGAACGGGGAAGTGGCGAGGCGAGGAGTATTATCGATTCGCCGGGGCTCGTGAGTTAACGGTTTGTTTACACGAGCACGGCGACGGGCGGGGAGCGGACGGAGTGGGATGCGCGCATGCGCCGCGCGGCCAAAACAATAATAACAGAGTAGAAGCAGAAGGTTCATGGCTGGCGGACGGTCGCTCGTTCCTCGCGTCTCGACACGAACTCTCGTCGAAGCCTGTCGATCGAAAGTCCGCGCGCGCGCCACGACGAAGAGTTGACCTGCCGTAGTCGTCGCCGTATTGTTGTCCAACGGGAAACGAGAGAGAAAAAGGGAAAACACGCACAGTCGGACGGCCGTTTCGCGCCGCGCACGTACGTTGCGACACGGACCGGTGCTTCAAAGAAGAGTAGGAAGTAATTCGCGTGGGACAGAGTACCAACTACTACCTCGTAATCGTGCGGCAAGGCAAGTTCTCCACTTTATTGATACTCTCGAAACCGCCGAATTTGTTATCTCGAGAGGCCGTGTCGCGCATTCGGCGTTTCTCTCTCTCTCTCTCGAGAAACTGTTATCGAAATAAGAACCACATTGCGCGGCAGGTTCCGCGAAATCCTACGGAATTGTGATCTACCTCGAAGTAAAACAGTGAGCGAGAGAGAAAGAGAGAGAGATACATAGAGAAGGAGACACGGTGTTTAATTCGAAATCCGCGAGTGCGCAAAGTGTTTGATCTCCTCGCGACCGAGCAATCCTTCGCTGTTCGGTCCTCTCTCTCTCTCATACACACACACACCTTCGCGTTACCTCATCGTCGGAGCGAAGTGCGTACGTTGTGTAACTCGAGCGACCATCATCTAGTCGGAGAAAGAGAGGAAGAGAGAGAGAGATTCGGACACTGCGTTCGATCGCCGAGCTCGGAAGCAAAACAATGCGCTGCTGGTGTAGCACGTAGTCGGTGTGCATCTCGTGTGTGTGTGCGTGAATGCACGTATACGTGTACCTGCCCGCAGCTGCCGCGCGGGCGCGCTCGTGTGTGTTTGTTTATGCGCGGGGCTAGCAGTCGCACGCTCGTACTCGCGCGCGACGTTCATTCAACAGTCAGCCGCGATTCTACGCGGTGGACGTTGTCGTCATCGTCGTCGACTCGACCGTTTCGAAAGGAGAGCGGTGAGGACGCGGCGCGAGGGTAATCGCCGCGCGTATTTGGCCAGTGAATCACGCTTCGACCCGTTTGATTACGGCACGGACGCGCCTCTCGCCGGATACGACGTGCATGTATATATATTCGTGCGCGCGCGCTCTCGTATTGTTGTGTGACGTGTCCTCGTGCACTACGTGCGGACCGAGAGAGATCGGCTGGCTCTATAATTATCGCGCGTGCATCAGACAACGACCGCCGTGGTGTGTGTATCCTTCCGTCGTGGGAAAAGAAAAAAAAGGAGGAATATCGTCCGGGTTTCCTCGTTCTCGAGGGAGAACCAGTTGCTTTGATTTTTCTCTCTTTCTTTCGCTCGACGTGATTGACCGTCCCGTTTTCCTCCGGAAGAAAACACCGCGCCTCCGTTCTTCTCCTCCATCAGCATTGTGCCGCAGGAGGAACCGTCCAGCGAGGGTAAACAGACATCGGAGAGAGAGAGAGAGGTCGCAACAATAATACCGCCTCCTGTTTTTTCTTCTACCTGACACACGCCCCGAAGATGCCGAGCGCCGAGGAGACGACGTACCATCTGATCAGCGTGCCGATGCCGGACGGGGCGCAGGCGGACGCGTTCTTGGCGCGCGACGTCGACCTGCTGGTCTCACAGATCAAGGAGAATCTGCGGTTGTCCAGCCTGAAGGCAAAGTCCAGCATCAGTCACAAAAACAGCCGGCCGTCGCCGTACCGGGTGCCGGCGCGGTCCTGGGCAGACCCGGCCGCCGGCTGCGAGGTCTGCGGCCTGCGTCCCAATCAGCAACATCATCATCATCATCACCACATGGCTCACCACCACCACCACCACCACCACCACCACCATCACCAAAAGAGGAGCGAGAGGAACAGGGTGGACGACGACCCGTACGAGGTTCTGCAGGAGCTGCTGCGCGAAGGCGGCCTCATCAAGGAGGCGGTGAAGAGGCTGCAGGCGAATCTCGACGAGCTGTCGAGCTCGGAGGTGGAGGAGGACGAGGAGGTGGTGGTCGATGACGAGGACGACGAGCGGCGGAGATCCGGCGGCTGCTACCGCCGGAAACCGTACTTCTACGACTCCGAGGACGAGCCGTTACCACCGATGTACGAGCCGTTGGAACTGTGAGGCTGCAGCAGCAGCGTGCTTTAGGCGGAAGAATCTAACGTCCGTTCCTTTGCTTTCCTTTGTGAGCGACCTTAGTGTCTCTCCTTGGCCTCCCAACAATAGCGATGATCTCTGTCCCTTCACGCGGAGGTAAGGACGGATTTATCGCTCGGCGCGCCGGAGTTCCTTCGAGGGAGAAGAACCAGGAGAGTCTGATCCGCGAAAAAAAAAGGTTGCCCCCCTATCTGTGCGCGAGAACGTAACGTTGACGTGCGCTCGAACGCCGCTCGTAGACGCGCAATTAGGCGAGAACTCGCCTTACATGGGCGTGTTTGTAAATACGACGCGTTGTCGGCGCTGCGTGCCAGCTCGCTCGCCCGCTTCGTAATGCCGAGATAGCTGTATCGACGCTCGCGGGCCTACGTGGAAGACTTATGGCCGCGAATCGCTCCGTCACCGTTCGAAACGCGTACGCCGGACGTTCCTTTCTCATAGAGCGCGCAACCGTGTTGCGTACTATGTGTCGCCGATACTCGTGGGTACGGCTCGAAATTATTGTAAGGAAAAAAAAAGAAATAGCTCCCACAGGTAAAAATTAGCTGTCTATATGATAAAGAGAGGACTGAAATTTAGTTGATTTATAGCTAATTCTTCTTGTTCTTGTTCTACCTAGTTTCAGTTCTCACAGCTGAAAAACTAAGGTTTGAAAACTAAATTTCAGTTGTATTATCAAGGTTGCCGGAAAACTGGGAAAAATCGTGGAAATTTAATACTCCGAGTCAGTCAGAGTCACTTGTGTCCGGATTATTGTGTAAAGTGTTTGTTTCTTAAAATGAAATCATTAGGAATAAAATATTTGGCAGTTTATTGTTGGCAAAACAGCTATGCGGTCTTCAAGTAGAAAGGTAAAAGAAATTCCGATAATTTTGGGAAATTTTTTTCGAACGATTTAAGAAGAGGAAAATTGAGGAAGATACAAATGACCTTGATTGCAAATTCGGAGATAGTGGAGATACATTGTCGCTCGAAAAGTTAAAAAATGTCAGGGAAAACCTGGAAAAGTGGGAGAAAGATGTAAAAAATGTGGAATTTTTAATTTTACTCGCAATTCTTTTAAATGCTCTCACATTGTTTCCAATACTCATTTATTTTTCGTTGGCCTGAATTTACACTCAGAATTATATTATGTTACTAAATTTTTAAGTTTACATAGCTTCTAATAATATAAGTTACATTTTCTGCAATCTTTGCTTCTAAACGTTAAAATTTAACATTACATATTGCTTATGGAAAATTCCCTGCTTTAGGCAACATTAGAGAACAAAGAAGCCAGGGAATTGAAAAATTCATTTTCTATGGCAACCCTGATTGCACGGACAGCTAATTCCCTTTTTCCGTGCGAAGAGTATCGCGTGGTGAGGGTGATCGCATCAGCTTGTCACAATTTTACGCTACAGGGTGATTCGAAAAAGAATCGATTTACTCGCATCGCTTGTCTCGCTGATATTTTGCGCGCCTAATATTATTATCGGTAGATATCTCCCTCGGTAGGTCAGCTTGCACGTCATGACACGTCGCGGTTCGCGACGTACAATTGGTTTCGAGGAGCGAAATGAATCGCTTGAAATGATCGCGACAAGATACGTTGACTGAACATTCTTGCTCTATTTTCCACTGCATACACCGCCGCACGCACGCACTGCGTGCCGTCTTAGGCTCTGAATCACCCTGTACGATAGCGTTCGATACGCACACTTGACGTGTCCCGCATTGTGCTGTGTTCTCCGCATCGTATCGCCGATATTTGTCGGCATCTGAATTGATTAAAAGATATACATCGCGGGTGAGATAATCGGGTCACGCAGTGTGTCCCTTTTCCACGCGTTGCGAGCCGTCAGGAGCCGTCATCTCGTCGTGTCAATTCGTCAATATCGTTTTTTTGCGCGCTCGACGTTTCGATAATTATTAAGATACCGACGAAACATCGTTATCGCTGTGCGCCAGTGGAGTGGATCTGTGTCGTACAACCGATTAATCATCGAGGCTGTCTCACTCGAGCCGTTTTCAATTGCCGAGCAGATTCTCTCGCCATGTGGGGCGCGCGTTTACCACCCGCAAAGAAACGCGACATGGTAGGCACATTGAGAATCTCCCCTAAGGGAGAATGAAAGATTCCGAGAGGATCGATGCGAATTCATCCGAACCTTAGGATCAGGATCTTGGAAATTTCAGGAAGAAATCGGTCTCGAGATGCAGCGCTTTCTGCGTGTTTTTCCGGTTCACAATGCGATCGTGCCGAAAGAAAGAACAATCGCTCGGCTGCGATTAGGCGAAAGTGATGTCGGCGGAGTACACGTATCGACGAGGATGTCAGGCAGGACCGTCGAATCCCCCCTCCCCGGGGATTACACGATCCAATTCGAGCGAGTGAGAAGCGCGACGGATAAAACGCGCCCGTGATCGATCAACGACTATCGTTGCCTTTGCATTGTGCGGAAGCATTAAGGGCACAAACGTTGCGAGAAAAGAGAAGACACACACACACACACACACACAGACACGGTGATCTCATTTATTTTTTCACGACGCGCGCAGCGAGCGGACCAGTCGATTGACGAGGCGAGGCGAGATCATTCATAGCTTAGCTTAGGCTCGGTTTAGTTCCCTACACAGCTGTGTCTTTAACCCTAAACGGTGTGAAGACACCTGTCGCGCGGCGGCGAGAACGATAAAATGAATGAGATGAAGCCGAAGCTCTCTCGGCGTCCGCAAGGATGTATCCTGAGAAATGAAATACATTGCACGTACAAGCGGACGCTCTCAAGTTGGAAGTGCGGCTTCCCTTATCGATCAAGCCGTTAGGTACCGTGAAGGTATAACGATAGAAATTCGCGAATGAGAGGATTTTGGAGGCTCCACGTTGGATAAACGTGCGCCTCGAACTAGAACGACGTCTCTCGAACGACAGGCCTATAAATAATAACAGGCTTTGAGGATAAAAAAAGGAGACGTCGACGGGATGTCGGCTACATCGTTTGGGGTTAATTCGGCGCACTGGAGTATTAACGGAGGAAATGAAAATGTCAAAGATATAGATAACGTCCACGTTGCAGATCGGTAAAAAGAAGAGAAGTGGAAGGAAAGGCGAAAAGTTAAATGGAAGGAACACCGCAGGGACGCGAAACGTCAACGTGGATTTGTATAATAACGTATATAGCTTTATATATATATATATCTGTGCATGTTTTAGTGCATAGTTACTTATCGCTATCGATCGCTAGGAGATACACTATTGAGATGTTACACACACACACACACACACACACCGGTACCCACATGTGTAAGGACAATGTATGCGTGTAAGTTTCGAGCAATGACGTGTCGCGTCACGGAGAGACGGTAGAGGAAAAATCCAACGGAAGGTCCTGCGTGGCAGCTGTGACGTCACGAGCTAACTTAATTATTGAAAGAGTGTGTTGTTACTCCTCTCGTACACGCCCATCGCTATCGCCGATATCGTCGCGAGTCCGGCGTTATTTCTAAACCTGGCAATCAATTAACACAAATGAACCTTCGATTATTCCGTCGGTCGGCTCGTGACGTCATCGAGTGCAACGCGCGCGCGTCCGGGATTTTATATATTGTATAGAGAGAGAGAGAGAGAGACAGAGAGAGACAACAATGCGGGGTATTGGTAAACGTGGTCGCCACGGTGACGCAATAAAACGACACTCGTAGCGATACGTAGCGGCAGAAGAAAGAGACGATCGTGCGTAGCGAGCGCGGCTTCTCGTCATTTTCGTCGTTATAGCCGCCTTATCCGACTAATTAGATAAGTTAGCAATTAGTACACATCGCATACCTACCCACTGCGAGCTGGGCGGATGAATTGCGTCAGAATTCCACAGTTCCGACGGAGTGCTTGTGTGTCTCGTGTTACTTGAGTGTGTACGAGCGTGTGTGTGTGTGTGTGTGTATGCGCGCATGCATGTGTGTGTAAGAGAGTTACGTTGTAGTTTCTTTCATTCTATTTTTTTTTTTTTTCTATGACACGATGAGTGAGCGTAGTCCCTCATTTTCTTTTCTAAGCGTTTCGCTGTTAAGGAGGGTGCATTACGGAAAACTATATCTCGTTGTGATCGTCGGGCTCGCACGTCCGACACAAGTCTTACTGATTAATAATGAGAATAATGATAAGGAGGAAAAATGATGAAAAATAAAGAAGTTCAAAGTTTCAAATGCAGATATATGTGTAAAGTGTGTGTTGGTCGTGCGCGCGCGCTATGTTGCGCGAAAACTTTCCACCGACTATCCGCTCCTCAGCCTATCCCCCCCACCCCTCCCTCTCTCCTCTTCACTGTCATTAAACGCAGACATCAAACGGTTCTGCTTGGTGTCTGATGGTAGAGCGTGCCACAAATACATCGTGGATACACGTACGCTTGCGTTATACAGGATGCTTTGCCGTTACCGTTTCTTGCCTACGAAACCGATGCTTAGCGGTAATCCGAAAACTAATTGCGGAATCGCCTAACGTAATATATTTCGGTAAATCGGGCAACGCGACGGGAAATCGGTGGAAACGATCCGTTTCATGGAATCGTCGAGTGACCGAGACGATCTTTTACTTAGGCCGAAGTTCCACGGAAATTTAATTTTAGTCGAAGCACAGAATATCGCTGCTCCTTCCGTGAAGAGAGTTTCTCTCCGGAACAATATTGACTTCTCTTGCGTCAAACAGTCCGTCATTAGCGGGAATGACGGCATAGTAACGGGACACCCTGTATAGTCGGCGGTTCACTGGCCTTCTGATCGTTGGCGCGCATTGAAGCTGTGTTCTCTCCGTGCCAGCTTCGAGAAATTTGCTTTCGGCTTTGCGTTTGCTGATGTGTACCTCGCGCTGATAATAACCGCGGAAACGATAAAGATGCACCGTTTCTATTAAATACGGTGAGACCGCGCGCGCTACTGGATTTTCCGCTGCGGTTTTAGGTGTCCTGGGCAAACCGCCGCTCAATATCCATATCTCGGCCGAACATCTTTTCAAACCCTCGATATCACGCGGCGAGATTTAAAGCTCGATGCTGCGGCATTGAATTGCGGCAATGGAAATGGGACAAGGAGAAAGAATAATGCAGGAAAGAAATTTGTATCGAATAACGGCGGAGGATGACGAAGGACCGGACACGTCATCTCTTCAGCGAACATCGCAGAATTATTAAGTGTGGCGACACGACACAAAGCAAACGATCTCTGAAACGACACCAGCATAGAAACGAAACCAACGATTTTACGGGGGCCACTTTGTTCCACGCCTCTGACCTGAAACAACTCGGCTCGAGAGACAAAAAAGGAAAGGTTCGACCGTCGATTTCAGGTAGGCAGGTCACTCAACGACGATTTGCCGCTTTCAAAAATTAACGATCGCTCGGAATGCACTCGCTCAGCAATTGTCGTCGCGTTACGTAATAAAGACTGCTCATAATTCAGTGGAATCTCTCCTTGGGGCTTTTGAGTAAATTTGGGAGAGCCAATCGTATACATATTGCGCAATTTCTACCGCCGGGCATCTTTTATGCGAACGTAATATCGTACACGGAAAAAAAATTTCTGTGGATTTAATGGAATTTCTTTAATCTGAAACAGATTTGTTTTTTGGCATGGGACAAGAAAACGAATGTCTGATTCAATAAACAGAGTCGTCTGGTTTCTGAAACAATATTTACATCAAATAACATATTTTTCTTTTGTATTTTCATTCAAACGTTACGATGGTTATTATAAACAATGAATTATTTGAAAGAAGTAATACTATGTTAGAAAAATATTAAAGAACTTTTCAATGGGACAATATTTAATATATGATAAAATAAATTTCTTTTATAGGAAACCAAATATTTTATCTAAATAATATTGTTTTTTCTATCAAACGACATTGTTATTCAAGCAAAATGATATTATATTAAAAAAACACGTATATTATATCCAAAGGAACTTTTTTCTCTACGTACATAGAGACACTGTGCATAGAAAAAAATGCCGTTAAATCAATAGAATTTCCAACAGCACGCGTAAATTGGAGTAAATCTTTTTGATTCAATGGCGATATCATTGAAACTAATACTTCGAATATTGAAACAATACATAACATCATAGTTTTAATGGTATTTGCCTTTGAATCAAGAAGATTTGCTCCAATAACATTACTGTTGGAAATTTTATTGATTCAACAGCATTTTTCCCATGTATTATAATATATTCCGCAACTAGTTATTTCGAAAATATCTTTTTCCTCTTACACGTTATAGCTCAATGCAATATGTTTTTATGCTAAACGAACGTCAAGGACTCTCTTCTTTCTGAATAATTGCAGAAACGGTTCCTTTGGGCCGTTGAGTCGTCGTGAAGGAAAAATTTCGCCGCGATTTGCATAGTTCAACGGTGTAACGATCGTTAGCCAGCCGCGATTCGTATAAATAATGCTTACTTTTTCGAAAGAAACAAAACGACGAGTATTCCGGGATTGGAGAGGTTAACGAGCAAATTTGGCCTGCAGAAAAGTCAAGTGTCATCATCATGAGGCAGCTTCGAGAAAGCGAGAGAGAGAGAGAGAGAGATTGTTAGAGACATTTGTTTGCGCGAGTCACCAGCAGTTCTCCTCGTCGAGGAAGACTTTGACCGAATGACTCGCGACATTGTAATGTTTATAGAAGCGCACGAAAAATCGAGTAAAGTTAAATCGCGCCAAGTGACGGCGCGATAACGCGCACTTTCGATGGTGCGCGCGATCTCGTGTATCCCTGGCGATTAAATTACCACGTCTCGGCTAATGGGACGATCCGTTTCCGTCGGGGAAGACGGGCGCGCCCGTCAACACGTTCACGGAAATGCAAGTTGCGTCGGGTATTTCTCACTTCTTACGCCCAGACTTTCCCGAGACTAATCCCATTTACCAGCGGAGCCACGATGTTCGATTATCGCGTTACAGAAGTGATCAATGAGCACGTGTTACGCGCGCACACGGCGCGAAAATAAACGGAAAACTTGGCGCGGTTTGACCCAATTCAAGAACATCCATTTATACGATTGTCCAACCATCTGGCATCTCGCGAGCCACGATTCGTGGCACCGATCTATCCGTATTCCGTATTAATAGTGGTGTTCGCGAGTACAACAAGGTGCGTAAATCTATTAATAATGCACGGAATGTGTCTGGGAAATCGATTTAGAGATTTCGGGTTGTTCCAAAGAAACGGAAGATTTCGAGAGATAAATTTGTATGCAAATTGATAATTAGCCTTTTTTCAATGTGTTTTGCGCGTCTGTTATCTCTCTCTCGATTCTCTTATCGATTCAGACATCGCAGGCGCGTATTTTCTCTCCCGATCATAGATTCTTCGATAAAATTTTCATTCAATCTTCGAAAGTATATACGCGCGACATCCTATTTACCTTAAATATAGAATATACATGAATTTTGTCACGTTATGCTCACGTACGTAGCTTAAAACTCATTTGTACGATAAAACGTGGACGCCCCCGAGAGGCTCCGATAACGAGTTAAATTGACTGGATGAATTGATTTGTCGTTATATCGAGTTTCCAGTACCTGATAAAAATAACAGGAATGGTTAAAGTACGAACAAACAACAATAAAATCCCGCTTATCGTTTCTCTCCACTCTCCGAAGTTACGCTCTCGAGTTTCGCAGACTTATTAATTTTTATATGTTATACGTATAATCGATCTCCTTGTTGGCGATACTTTTTATCTCTCGTCTCGTATTAAAATATAGCACGCCTTATGTAATACGCGTAACGTTTACGCGACCTTCAGGCAAGGTCTTCGGGCCTGTCGTCCGTAAACTGAGAATAGGATTCTACATCGGCTGAAGTTCGAAAGAAAACCTTGCGCTATTATTGTACACGAGACGGCGTCACGTTTCACTCGGAGCCGCGTTTGCTTAGTAATATTTATTCTCGCGAAAAACAACGAGATCCAAGCTCAAAGTTGCCGAACCGCATCGCATTTCTCTCCATTTTTTTCATTTCTCTTTCTCTCTCTCTCTCTCTCTCTCTCTCGCTCTGTGTTATTCCGAGTGGAGATAAAATTAAATCGCGCCTGAACGCGATCGGAAGCATCCAGTGGGACTCAAATGCACATTCGCAGCACATGAATCACGCTAGTAAATGTCAATCTACATCTAGTCATTGTTCGAGAAATTCCATATTGCTTGATACTCGTGTTACATCATCTCCAAAATATACACGAGATAACACGAGATGCGATCTTACACTTATCGCCACGGTGCAATCATTAAATAACAGATAATCTTTCTCTCTCTCTCTTTTCACGAGCCGATATGCATCGAGAGGTGCATATAGTGGACTCTCTTATCGAGGTGTCCTCAACGAATGTTTTTATTTTCCTCTCTTGTCTCACAATTATAAAACGATGAGCACTGTGTGGATCTCACTCCCTCTTTCTCACACTCGAATCGGCACAGTTAGCGGCACGGCCATAAGTAAACAATTCGAACATCTAATAACGGATATCGACCTTGTCCGTATGTGACACAGATTTCGGCGCGAGATAGCAAGTATGCGATGCGACCTAGTTATACATCAGAAAAAAACAACGATGCGTGATTAAATATGTGTTCATTGTTTAAAGTAGTCATTACAACTGAACTTCCGGCGAGACCGCGCTTTAAACGGAGAAGAACGCGGGAGTAATTCGTTAATCGAATGAGATTGTGGGAATATTTTCGGTTCGGCTACGAATTCTCGTTCGAAAGACTCCCGCTGCGGAGTATACACTTTGATGTATTTTTTTTATATCTTGTATATATATTTTACTTATTTCTTTTCCATCATATTTTATGGACGAAAGTCAGGTTGAAATATTTCCGCAAAACAGAATAGCGACTGAAAGTCCGGCATCGGGAGAGAATTCTCCCTCGTGACATTTCCGAGAACAGAAAAATCCTACTGGTTCTGTGACAGTTAAGCAATTGAAGTTGCATATCTGAATTTGCATTTGTTACATTTTCTGCATTCTTTGTCATGACTTTCTCTCGAGACCGGCGCAAAATTGCAAAGTGTAACGCCGAGATATACTGATATCGTACTAAAATAATAATCCGAGCACATTCCGACAATCACACAGTAACGAGAGAGCGACGAAGTGTGGAGAAAACTTTGTCTTCTTATAAACTACATCCCCACGGAGAAAAATATTTTGTTGGCGCAGCAAATTGTTAGTTACTATGTACTAAGAAAAAAAGTCTTAAAAATTTATTTGTGAAATTTACGATTTGTTTCACAGAGATAAGCGTTTGTTTAAATAGAGCGAAATAAGATTTTATTTCTAGCAAATAAACTGATTAACAACTTAGGTATATTCCACAAAAATATATATTTCGTCATTATAATGAAATTTTTTTCTAACCAATAAATATCGAAGAAAATGTCACAAGAAACATTTACTTCGCAAAATTTCAATTTCTTTTTCTGAATGTAGGAGCAGCAAAAAGATTTGTTAAGAGTATTTATTGCTATTTGCTGGTTATATATGATTTGTTTTTTATAGTTGCAATTCTGGTGTAATAAGTTAGAGCGAGACAAAATATATTTTTCTCACTCTAATTTATTGCACCAATTCAGCAGTGCAGCTATAAAGAACAGATCAATAGACAGCAAAGTAACTTGGTTATGCCAACTAAATTTGATCAGTGTAACAACAACGGTTTTGCTACACGGCAAAATTATTTTTTCCATATGACAAACCTTTTTATTGTCCCCATAGTAACTAACAATTTGCCGTGTTGGCAAAATTATTTTATTCCGTGCATTATCTCTCTGATCACCGCGTTTAACATATCGAGTCTGTCGAAGAAAAAGTAATTTTTTCGGAAAGGCCGCAGCGCGGTCTCTCTCGATGCGGCCTAGAATTCGGTAAACAACAATGACGACGCCGGTGACTTCGTGGCCAAAACATTGCGTCAGATCGCGTCATCGGCCGCGTGCGTCTTCGGCCGACATTGGGTTCGAGGCTTCGGCTGCGCTCGGTCACCATCGGCTACGCTCGGTTGCGCGCCAGTCGATCACGTGACCGTGGCCCGATCCGTCAGATGAGTATGTCGTAGTCCGACGCGATAACGCGGCTGATAGAAGCTGGGGGTTGTACGTTTGTATAAATTTCCGACAGCTTCGCACATCGACCACCTGGACCGTTCTTGTCCGTCGACTCCGCTGATTATCGATCACCGCCACCGGGAGGAAGACCGGAACGCACACTGACGTGAGGACGCTGCTCTCCGACGACAACCAACATGGCGGAGGCTAACTGCGTCAAACCGTAAGTTCATCTCGTGTACACACATTGATCGCTTCGTTGTTTTTGTTGTCATTGCGTCGTGTCGTTGCCCTTCGCGAAAGTAGATCCGCGCGCGAGCATTTCCGCGCGGTAGACCCGTCGAGTGGTCTCGGCGAGCTCGTTTTCCCACGTAAATCATTTTCGCGCGTAAATCTTCTCCGTGGGTGGTCGCGTTACCCGGACTGGAATCGCGAAACGACGTCTGCAGCGTGGAAAGTTGAAATCACATCGGTTTTCTAATCGCGAGGAGAGTGCCGGCGAGTGATCCGCGAACGAGCGGCGACGAGTGTCGTGGGCGAGCGTCTGAACGCGCGGCGATTTCACGACGAACGATACACGAAACGTTGGTGTGTATAATGTTCGTGCCGGATTGCGAAATCGCCTGCGCTGCGATTCGTGTTTGTCCGCTCGTCGATCGAGCCCGCTTTCCCCCGGCCGTATTTTGAGGTTATGCGTGACGGGACGACGCCCGCTCCGTTAGAATCATGTTGACCCTTGGACTGCTTGATAACAGCGCTCGTACGAGATGTAATAACACGGGCTGGGCCGGCCGTAATAAAAGCCTCGCTTTTCTAACTCCGGCGTCGCATTTAGTAGGCCAAAATAATTGAAGGTTTCTTTACAGTGATTGATTGACCCTTGATAGTGAGGGGAGGAATAATAATAGTTGTAATGATTAAGGGACAGCCTTCAATTACATTGACCTCGTACTTCTTCCATCTTTGATGGAGAAATGTCATTTGAAACGAACATAGTTCGCATTTCCCACGTCAACGCTCAGCGTTAATAAATTGCTTGGATAACTTGGAGATGAAAATCTTGCAAAATGTTACCTAAGAGTTAATAGTATTTTCCAAAACAGGGAGCAATTAGGACGTAAACGAAATGTAACGACCAAAGTTCCCACGTTCGGCTTACAATTTAACGCGCATTGATAAAAGGGCGCACATATATCGCCCCCTTTTTCCCATCGATATGGTTGTCGGCGTAAGATAGACTTGTTTATCGTAGCTGAACGATGTTTTATTTTTTCTTTGAGACCGACTCGTAGAAGCAATGATAAATTTATAAACATTCAGTGTCATGTGACTCACCTCTTATCGCGGCACAATATCCTGTTCGTAACTTAAAAAAAAAATATTATCTACCAGCCGTTAAGGTTCGTTAATCATCTCTCACTTGAAAAGCATTGAAGACTCGACATTTTATTTTATTAATGGAACTAATTATGCCAACGCTTAGAATTATCTGAGGAACTGCTATTAAACGTTGACATAGTAATGATGAAATGTTCTATACATGTTGGCACGTTTGTTGACGGACGTGACGTGTCTTTAGTTTACACGCTTATACCAAGAACGAATTTCTTCGTCGAAGACGCGATTGCTTAAGAAGGTTTCTAGGTTGCCCGACTTGTGCGGCGAATTAATGACGCGTTGTTTACGTTTGTATTATGCATAATTTATGTGCTCGCATGCAAAGCACGTAGTCACCCACTTCGCGCGAGGAAATTAGTCTCTCTTTCTCTCTCGCTCTCCCCTAAAATTTTGTCATTTCTTTTCTCGCATGATTTCGACTAATAACTTTTGTGAAACGAACGTTTAATCTCTTTACGATTTACTCAGTCGAGACGACGAAGTTAAACATTGCCTTGTAGCGTTCGCTCAAACAACGAAATAAGAATTTCACGTAATACACGGGAAAAAAATATTCCAACAACGTAATTGGAAAAAATTTTCTTATTCAATGGCAAATATCATAAAAATTATTATATTACATATTGTTTCAATAATTAAAATATACAAAAAAAATTAGTCTTAAGTCAAGATATTCTCATATAAGCAAGACTATTATAATTTTTTTGAAGATTTTTAGTCTTGAATCGAATTTGTATTGATGCAAGTCATTTTTACTTGAATTCAATTCTAGACTAAAATCTCCTAAGAAGAAGATTATTATATTCTTGCTTATATATGAAAATATTTATTTTTGATTTAAGATTATTTTTTTCTGTGCAAGTTTCAGTGATATCTCGTTAATGAATCAAGAAGATTTATTCCAATTACACGCGCTGTTGGGAATTCTATGTGTTTTTAGCTCCCACGGCTAAAAGCTAAGTCTGGTAACTAAATTTCAGTTGCACCATATGTGAACAACTAATTCCTTTTTCCCGCGCATTACTTGATAATTGTGGAAAAGCCACCGCTGGGAGATTTGTAGTAGAAAGTCGTGCGTTTCGCCGCAGTCTAATTCCCGATGACGTAACTGGGGTAGAACGGGGGGGTTCAAGGTGTGATCGGCTGCCGTGCGCGCGGAGACAGAACGAGTAATGCGTACATCGTACATCTCGTCGGTAAACAAAACGGTGGATCGTTATCGCTGTTGTTTGTAGGCTTCTAAATTTCGAGAGACGCTGCGCGCCGGCTCGCGTTTTTCAATGTCAACGTTTACGTAACGAGTGGAGAGAGACGGTTGGTGCCGTCTGTAGTGCGCCTGTCCTCTCTTCAATCGGTAAACAATATAATCATTATTCGTCCGCCTGCCTGCCTGCATATCGCGATAAGAATGATACCGATGAATCGAAGAGCGACTTTGTACGAGAGGCCGTCGCAAAATACAAAATTTTCCAAGAAGCGATACGATCTCGCGAGATTAGATAATCTCGCACGGATTTTTCCCTTTGATCACGCGGAACGCAATTTTTTTTTTTTTTTTTTTTTTTTTTTTTAANGACAATGACAATGTTCGTAAAGTATACAATTGTGCTAATTGTGTCTCGGCTGCGCAATTCCTTCGCGAACGTGCTTGTGGGAATCGACGTGCGACGACATACTGTTGTATGCACGACTTGCTTTTCCTACACAAAATTCACGCCGAATGCGAACATGACCGCTCGATTTGGAATTTTGCGTGCATAATATGCCACTATCGAGCCGTATCAACGGTATATGCGAATCTTATATTTAGAATACTCTATTTCGAGAGAATGTTCATGACTGACGAGAGAGCATCTGTGTCGAACGTTCTGCAGCGCTGTGTTTCGTACACAGACGTGAGGAAAGCTGCGCGGAAGTGTTTATGCGAAAAGTTAACAGAAGATACAACGATGCATTCGAGTCACGATGCTTTCATTTCTTCCATCGGTGGCGGGAACTGTTCTGCTTTGTTCGGTGTCAAACGGCGGCTCTTGCTCCGACCTAATTGAATTTACACACGGAAGAAGAAGTGCTAGAATCAAGTAAACGTAATTAATTACCTGTTTTTCCCTCTCGTAAATCAAGTAATATTTTTATCAGTTGAGATATATTTCAATAGCTTACAAATATTTACCTGAATGCAGTGATATTTTATTTGTGAATAAATTACTGAATGCAACTATAAAATGGTTCTAGGTTTAAGAGAGTATTTATTGGGATTATGCTTCTTTTCATTTCATTGAAGAAACCTACATAGAAAAAATACTAGATTTAAGTAAATAATTATTTTCTAATAATTACTCCTTAGGAAATTTTTAATGAATAAAATGAATTTTGCTAGGATCAAATAAATATATTTTATTTAGATAATATTTTACTTGAATCTCTCATGTTTTTTTTTCTGTGTAGTGGTTTTAATGTAGATTTTTCTGTCCGATATATAAATATTTTCTAAAAATACAAAATTCTTATATCCTCTTAATATTATATGAATTTAATATTTGTCGTAATTGTTTCAACACCTACAAGTAAATATTTACTTACACGAAGGAAATATCACATTACATATAATCAATTATATTTTTACTTATAGTAAATATTTGCTCTAATGGATGTAACCACATTACTTGAACGGTAACGCTTTTCTCTCTCGGTGCGGGAGTAAAAATAAAGTTGATCAATTGACGCGCGCAAATGCGCTTTCTTCGCGCTGAAATTGAAGTTTGGGGACGGTTATCGTAAAATAAGAAACGGGGTGTGGCGCGTGACTTTTCGAGAGAGGGTATCGCCGTCGAGTTAAGGTTGAGAGGGGGATTGAACGAGATTTTCAACCGGACGTTGAAAGCGTCGGGTGATTGAATTGATATATATTCGTGTGGTTTAGAAACGCTCGGCAGTGGCACCGACAGGGCCGCCGAAGGGTTAAATATATATATATATATATAGCGGGTGTACACTTCGCATTACGCGCGTGTGTCTCGTTAGCGTGCTCAGAGTTTTCTGTGTGCCGTCATGCGTTTCGTCGTCGGGGAATATGGCAGGACAAGAATTGTGTCAGTCAAGAAGAGGAGAGCGAGCCGTCCAATGACACGGCTTAAATATAAACCGAATACATACGTGCGAGGCCGCGCTCCTCTCCTCCCCTCGCGAGAATAGACGTCGCGTTTCGGGTTCTATTTATGCCCGCGTCATGTAATTACTACTAGCCGCCGAATATCCGAAGCAAATCGTCGCGTACAACGCGCGCACGCCGCCGTCTTACTTCACTCGCAGCACGAGACTTTTGCCTTTCTCACGGTGACGGGATGTCATTTCTCAATCGTCGCGGTCTTTCGAACAAAAATTCCGACCGATGCTAATCGTCGTTTGATCGTAGAGCTAATGAGCGGCAATTGATTCTTTTGAAGAGACCCGCCAGCGGACCGACGTTGCCGAGAGTCGCATTATTTCCACACCTCGTTGAATAGTCGCGCGGACATGTTAATTAAAAATAGTACGCTCGCCGGCTGTCTTCTCGCCTTCTCGCGCGTCGCGTCGTCTCAACTCGCGATTCGCGACAGAGCCGCTCGGGAGAAGCACACGAAACCTGGAATGGTTCAATCGTACGTACGATTATTGCCGCCTGCTGTTTCGCGAGAAATCTCGGTGCGTGCAACAACGCTTGATCGCTTTCGTGATGCAACCACTCGCGAGTCACCTAAATGCGCGTGCTATAGAGGTGCTGCAAAAGCAGGAGGCATCGATGAGTAAGCGGGCAGAGCGATAAACGCGACGGATCTACTTTCTTTTTAGAAAGTCTCGGCGATATTATCGGAAGCGAAATAATTATTTACGAGCAGCGTATCGTAACGTAATGTGCCATTCGGTATGTTCGCGTTACTTGTGACAGAGAATTTCTAAATAAGTTTGAGGCCGTGTGAGGGAGGGAGGAAATATCGCAATTAAAGGCTCGTTCAAGCCTCGATGAATTCTCTGAAGCAGCATACCTATTGATTGAAGGAAAGAGAGAAATTTGAAAGTAACATTAACTGCAATTTTAATTAGAAACTTGTATTACACACGCTGGTATGCAATTGCAGATTCACCATGAAGCACTTCTCGAGGTCCGGATGCACATTAAAAGTGCCGATGTCGCTTTTTCGCGAAAATCGCGAGCGACTAGTCTCGCGTCTCCAAACGAACAGCGAAGTCTCCGCCGAGGGCACTTTCGTTGTTCTTCAAGGTGGCGAGGAGGTTCCCTTCAACGATACGGATGTAAACTGGCCCTTCAGACAGGTGCGTGCCTATTCACTGCTATTATCTTCAGCACTCGCCGGATCGGTGACAACGTAATTGAATTGGTTATTTTATTACGTGCTCATCTTTGTTCAAAGATAGAAGTCACCTGTTAAAAATATTATCGTACCGTCGAAGTTTAAACTGTTAAATGTGTATTTGCACAGTAAAAATTTCATGAATATGCTGAAAAGTGATACAAATATTGTGTAAAAAATTAACACAAAATTAATATGTTAATTAACACTGAAGTATAATATGTATTATTTTAACACTTGCAATTTGAATATATCGTTTATGTTATCTCAACATTTTGTGTTGCGTCGATATTCAACATGTGTAAGTGTTAAAAACAAAACACACATTTTATATTTCCTTATTGATTGACGTATTAATTTTGTATTAATTTCTGACATAATATTTGTGTTATTTTTCAACATATTTAATGTATCTTGTGTTAAATTAATACAAAAATCTGAGTAGGCCGTTCGGAATATGTGAAATGTGTTAAATTTAGCACAACGTTTTTTACTGTGCACGTGAGCTTTTTCTAAGCGAATTTTTCCAGCCTTAAGGCAGAGATCGAGGAAATCCGCGGAAAAATGGGAAAAAAACCCTAATTTTTCCGATCTTTCAGAATTATAAAAGAGAGCGATAGATCTGTTTTCTTTTCCCGCGAGCTCTTCGAAACTCCTTGCAAGAGCAGTCAAAGTCCGCGATCGCGGTCAATGGTGGACGGGAAGTCCGGAGATTCAACCGCAATTACGTGGTCCAACTTTTACGGCTATTTTTGTCGCGCGTACCAGCGTTCACGGTAACGATCGTAAAGACAATTGAACTTTTCGCCGCGAAGTGTTCGACAGCCGCAACGCTCATCAACGCGAGAAAGTTCATTAGATTTATCTCTCGACGAAGAAGAACCGATGTCGCGCGAATTTAATTCGCCGCACTCGGATTGTTTATCGTCGAAGTGGCGTGTCTCGACTGGCGCGCACCAGTTGGCGAAATTAGTCATCGATAAGAACGATCCGATGGATGACTGTCCGCGTGTGAAATAATGTATGGCAGGTGAAAATTGATAATCTATATTTCACTGCTGAAACTAGACGATGTACAAATGACATAACATTTAGATAATTGTAAACTCCGGGGGAGGGAAACACTGGTGTTGCGGCTAATACGTGTCGTTACGTGGCGACACCGCACGCAATAATAAAATCGACGAGATATTGGGAAGAAATTTGCGCGCAGTAGAAGAAAAGAAATTAGTGCGTTACGAGAGAGAGAGAGAGAGAGAGGGGGAGGCAGATCTCACAGATTGTCTCGCATTGTGCTAACTCAATGTGTTTGCCGTATCATTGTAGTACAAGTTTATTCAAGTCTCTCCGGCAGCTGGTATATCTGGTAATTCGCCGAGGCGAGGATGTTGATATCAAATATTATTATCTGATGTACCTCGTGTCACGTGACACGAATTCGTTGCAGAATTCTTACGAAACAATAAGAACGCAATAAACGCGCGAGCACACATCGCTCCTTCTTTCCATACGGACGATTGTTTCGCTTCGTTAACTCTTATTCGTTCTCTTAATTATCCAACGTGAATAATACAAATCAAGTTGAAGCGAGAACGATGAGAATTTCCGCCGGGAGACGCGTTCAGGAGTTTCGTGAACTCCCGCTTTACATGAACTAGTAGCCGGCTCCCGCTGTCCGAGACTATTCTGGTAAATGGAGGTTCCGCTACGTTTACGTCGTCGCTAAGGCGTTCCTCGTCGAAGCACGAGAGTCGCCGAAAATCGACTACGAGCACGACGACAGCGACGAGTCCAAATCGACACGGTCCTGGCGCGGATCACGACGCTCCGCACGCTCTGGCAGATTGCCTTTAAAACTCGCTTTGCTAGAAGCCGAGGTACCGTTCGGACGGCTCTTTCTCTCTCTCTCTCTCTCTCTCTCTCTCTTTAGAAAAAATACACGACCGTTCGTTCGTCCATCCGTATTCCAGGTCGCTCACACGCGTTCTTTGTTCGGTGCCTAGCCACGATTGTTTCGAGCCGTATACGACTCGTGCGATCATCAGTCGGCCAAAAAATCTGATTTTTTTCACCCGTTATTTCACCAGACATCTGTTCGTTCGCGCGACCCAGACATTACAACCTCCATTTCTACCTCAAGTCGCTTGGAAATCTCTATTTTCATTCGCGTGCGTCGTCTTCGAATTGACGAGTCGTAGAATTAAGGAGGTTTGTAAGGCTCAGTGTCGTATTTTCAGAGGCGCGGGTCAAGGGGACGCGCTAAACTTTAAGGAACTTAAAAAGTGTCAATTTGAGCTGCAAATATCTCAGCTCTTGAATGGTCTTTTTCTAATTGCACGGGCAGTTGCATAACATTTCAATATGTTTCATACTTAGTGCAAGTTTCATTGAATTCTTATCAGACTCACTTCGCCCCCTTAACGTACGATGTAACGGAGCTACATTGTTCGATTAGCAGTTTCTGCTAGAACCGTGCATTCAGCGTCAAACATTCGATTCCCGATTTAATACACAGATCACATCCGACTTTATCGCGGATTGATAATTACGCGCAAGACCTCATTTAGCCCGTATTCGGGCGTGAAACGCGGGCGTTCGAATTGCGACCTGGATTATTTTTCGCCGACGAAGATGGTTTTGTAACAAGTAAAAAACGCGACGGAGCCCGGATCGAATTAGGTGATACCTTCTCACAGCCGGCGAGTAGAAGAACGAGGACATTATCTCGAGATATTCCAGACCGGCTTGAATTCGCGCTACGCTTGCGTCATTGTTGATCTTCCCGTGCGACGTTGGCGCCGAGCTCGGAATATTGAAAAAAATTTGATTCTTGTCTAATCGCACACGGTAAAAAATTCTGTGTTAAATTTTACACATTTCACGTATCCCGAGCGGTCCACACAACTTTTTGTGTCAGTTTAACATAGTGACACAAATATTATGTTAAAAATTAACACAAAATTGATGAACGTTTATCGACACTGAAGTATACAATGAATTATTTTAACATTAAAAATGTTATTTGACATTTATATATATTGAATATCGACTCAATACAAAATATTGAGATAACATAAACACAATGTATACGAAATTAAATTAATGCGGGTACGTTAGAAATTTAACAAGGAGGAGACACGAAAATTTCAATGAGGACCGACTTGAGCACAAGCGGAAAATATTTTTTACCGTGCAACGATGACTCGAGCGAGACTTCATTTACGATTCAATTCACATTTCGCGAGCGTCTCAGTCTCAATGAGACGCTCGCGAGTATAAAAGAGAGAAATACGCGCGTCGAGCTACGACGTTCCGTGGGATCTCCGGGCGGGAAGGAAGAAGGGTCGCCGGCGAAATTCGCGTCACCCGGTGTCCGCGGTTGGAGGGATATCTGGCGCTTTTGGGACACCCTACATGCATGCAATCAAAGTGTTCCAGTTTCTAATTTGGCGAATAGCTGCCCGCGTTTCTTTGTGCGCGCTCACTCTCTCTCACTCGTTCGCTCGCTCGCGACAGTTGAGGCGACGTACTCGTGCTGAATTCGATATCGTGCCGCTATTGTTGCGCGATGTTGCGATCAATACGGCGACCCTTACGTCGTCGGATCCTTTCTTAATGCAGCTGTGCCTTAATCCACCGTTGTCGTATGTATTCTCGACACTCTACCTGTCCGACCGCGCTATTCTCAACGAGACAGAGAGAGAACCAGTCATAATAACGAATAATCTCCAGATTAATAATACGACGGAGGGATTTCGTAGCAGTCATAATCGTTACAAGCGTTCTACGCTACCGCATTACAATCCGCGGGGATGGTGCGTACGAGACAAGTAGGGAAGTAAAGAGAGAGAGAGAGAGAGAGAGATAGAGAAAAAAACAGAAAAGAAATATCCGTTAACGCTAACATTAAACGTTAACCGTGCGGTAATGTACAACTTACATGTAAAGCGATAGACACGAACATTCTTCTGTCGGCACGCACATGCATACAAAATACTTGGCCGCGCGTATACGCGTCATCCGTACGGATGTGTATATCTATATATATAGATATATATATACAGTTCCTTTAAGATAATACCTGCTGGCTGTGCCGAGAGCGCGTTGACCTGATGGCCGATCGTTCTCAAGACGTTCTGTCCCCCCCCCCCCCNCCGTCTTTCCCAGCATCGGGCGGAAACGAGAGCAACCAAGAGAAGGAGAGAGTGAGAAGAGCCCAGAGCTCTTGAACCCAAACACAGGGCGCAACGCGCGTTACTCGCACGGGCTCATTTCTTATCGCTTCATCCTTGGAATTCCGACCTGCCGGATTTTTCGAAACCAACGACAACGACTCGACCCCGTTGTTGCCGAAGACGCGATATCGCAGCATTGTCTACATAGCAAATTCGTTTTCTGTTTGTTGACCACACCTGCCGCACTTTTGTTTTTCCTCGTCCTCCCTTCCTCTCCGACTCTCCGACCGCCGATCTCGCGCTCTCTTTTTCGTTTTAAATATTTTTTAGGCGTGAGTCCCGAAAGAGATCCTCCACTCGCGAAATAACACAGCCGGGGATCGAAATGAAGATTGGGAAGTGTTTGCCGGAGCAATTCCGGGATAAATAATATTCGTCGCGGCCGGTGAGTTATCGCTTTTCCTGCAGTTTTTGCCGTGGCTGGTCCGCTTTTTGCCAGTCTGCGAATTTCGCTCCGCTCGGAGGTCGTAAAGATTGCGGAATTTATCGATACAAAACAGGGGACGGGTTTCTTCTCGGGGCCCGCGAGAGATTCCTCCTCGTCGTCGTGACTTCGGCGGCTCTCGTCTCCCGGTGCAAAAACGCGACGCTAAACAGTAATAGAAAACCGGGGAGCGGCATTTCCGCTTCGTTCATCTCCGTGAGGAAGCGTCGAGGCGTGCGGATGCACTTGGCGTAATCCTGTTTCCTGTACAAGCTTTTTCGAAGCGTCTTCGCCGAGGTGGAGGATTCGAGGTCCGGTCGTGTGATCGCGAATTCGCCGCAGTATTTTTAACGCGCTTGAAAGAAACGGAGGAAGAGAGAGAAAGAGAGAGAGAGGGGAAAACAGGGGGAGGAGCCGTCGCGATTGACCGTGTACGAAAACCGAGAGCGGTCCCTCCGTCGTCCCTTCGAAGCCGGCGATCCGTGTCCCTCGCCGCTTCGGAAAACAAGAGACCGACATGCCCCGGAATACCTCGCGTCGTCATCGTGTCGTCTATTAAGTCGTCGAGAAAAATCCGCAACGGGGACCGACTGGTGCCTGGCATCGGCTCGATGACGTGGCCCGGCAGTATCAGCTCAAACACGGCCGGAATACGATCGACGCTGCCGAGATCGCCGAGGCAGCATCGATTTCTCACGTAATATCGCGTGATGACCTATTTGTTTGGGGAAGTCGGGGGATAAATATCACGACGTTCGATTTCTCGCTGGGGAACTCGACTGTAAGAGCGGCCGTTGCGACGCGGAATCGCGCGATACAAGTATCGTCGCGAAGGCTACGCAACGCTGAGCGCTGATCTTTTTTCTTCCTTTCAATTGTACAAACAGTCGTCTCGCGATATTCTCCATTAAAAAAAAAAAGTATCGCCTCTTTAATGCGTTCTCCGGAGTAGCGATACTCACTTATTCGCAAAGTTGGGTGAATTAACTTGAGTTAAAAGTTGATCATGCAAAACTATATGTTAACCTAAACTAACTATTCTTCTAAACTATACGTATAGAAGACAATTTTAATTTATTAAATAATTTTAACAAGTTGCTTCAAACTCAACTCAACTTATAATTAATTCTCGCCAAATGTAACTTTTCATTTAACTGAAATGATTGTCATCAGGCGATTGACAGGCCATTAATTTTTGAAGAAAGTTAATTCATTCAGCTCTGCTTATTCTCGCATTTTCGAATTTTTTTTTTTCGCACGAATGCTCGAGATCTCCGCGTGACGAGCGAAGGCGTATCTCGCGGACCGACGATTTCGAGAGCGGAAATGTGTGAAGGAGGGGAAAAAAATAATGCCAGGCAGCAACAAGCGTTTTTACATTTATTACGCGACATCTCTTCCGAATCCTCTCCATCATTCAACATTGTTCACCGCTGCGACTTCCGTGCTGGTATCTCACTTTATTTGTCCTCTTTATCAGGAGTCGTTCTTCCAATGGTGCTTCGCAGTGGAGGAGCCGGGATGCTACGGCGCTCTCGACCTGGCCGCCGGCACCTCGATCCTCTTTGTACCGAGGTTACCGCCCGAATATGCGATTTGGGAGGGCAGGCTGCGTACTCTGGAGGAGTTCAAGGAGCGATACGAGGTGGACGAGGCCCACTACACCGACGAGATTGCGCCCGTGCTGAAGGAAAAGCGAGCGCACCTTTTGCTCACGTTGGTAAGTCGCGCTTGGGAACAGATGGACGCTCGTTGGTGGCTCTTCGGTGGCTCGCGCGCTGCTTTCCTGCCCGCCTGCCTTCTCCTCGAGCAGGAGAAAGTGCTCAACTTGGGGATTGTCTTGACCCGAGAACAATGCGCTCCGCGCGCTCGTCGTACGTAACGACTCAGTCCGAGCGTGATTCCGAGTTTTCTCTGCTCCTGTGAAAATAAGATCGGACACGGCCGTGTTCGACACGTTTAAACGTGGGATGTGAATCCGTGGCTGGCGACGGCCGTCGCTTTTCTCCGAGCTACACACATCTAGCTGGGAGAATTTATATTTTATCACACGGTAAATGATTTAGTGTTACAAACGGTATCCACCTAAATTTTCGTGTTATTTTAACATGTTAAGAATACACAAATATGTCGAGTTAACGTATTCGCCTTGTTAACATATTACTTTCTAACATAAAATCACCTTGTGCAAAGTAACACAAAAATGTGGGTCACCGTTCTTAATACGAAACTTTTTACCGTGTCGTCAACTCATTACGCGAACCGTGCGCGCACATTCGTGCATTTCCGCGAATCTTCTCAGTAATAATTTTTCTCGGTCAAATTAGTCTCCGAGTTCCTTTCTCTTGTACTTTTTCTTTTGCAATTCGTCGCTCTCACTTGACGTAAACTTCCTGATGTCGCTATTTTTGTGGGATAGGTACACGAATGAATTTGCATAGCTAAGATTATAGTTTTTACATTTAATTTTTTTTTTCTATATATATGTATATTTCGTTCTTGTTAACTATACAGCATATACACACACACCAGCTAGAAGAATTTATATTTGATTACCAATACAACATTACACGCAGACCGTGCACAAATATTTGTACATTTCCGCCGATTTCAGATAAAGCTCGTCTCAAGTTTCCTTACCTGTTTTCAAACTGCACCCGTAGAGGAAGTTTTCAGAAAAGGCGTGGCGGGATCCGTGATGTGCGAAGTTACCACCGAAAAGCTTGTTTCGGCGAGTAATCACAGACAGAGAGATAGAGGTTGACTCGCAGGTTGAGCACCTTACTCTGCGTGTATGTGCGAATGTGTGTGCGTGTCTCGCAATAAGCGATCCGCCACGGCATGCCTCGTGACGTTTACCTTCGCCTCCTTCGCGACTGTCTGCCTCTACAATGTGTCGAGAAAGTTGCGTCGGCCGACTGGTTGTTGGGTTGCGAGTCGCTCGTGTTAAGGCGGCTCCAGACGCGTCGCCCTCCGAACATTCGGCGAATGCAGATGCGCCTGCGTGCGTGCATACGCGATGATAAATTTCGCCGCATTGTCGTCCCCAATTAGAGCGCCGTTGAGCACGCCTCATTTACGCGATGCGACGTCTGTCACGGCTCGGCGAATATCCGCCGAGGTGAGGGCATCGTTTGGTGTCGCCTTTACTCCGGATGACTTACCAATCCTGTTTCCGTGCGGGGCGCGCGCGCGCGCTAAATGGATGTTGCAAAAATCTGCCGCGCGCGAGTATAATATCCCAGGCACCTCGCGAGATTCTTGCGCGCGCTTCTCTAAATTCCGCCCTGTTGCTACGCGGATTAGAATTACGGTTGATCTAGCAGAATCTCAGAATACGTTTCTCGCGCGCTGCTTGGCTCCGTTCGACGACGCGTTTTCGTTAACGCAAATGCGCACACAACGCGTCCCACGTGTTTAGATATCACAGTTTTACCGCCGCCGTTATTATCGCGATCGTAAATTTCCCGGCGGAATACAGTTCGCGCGAAGGGACGACGGAAAAATTAGGAGGGATCAAAGGACGGGGGCGATTCATCTTACCTTCGGCTCTCCTCATATACCGTTTACCGTGCTTTCTGTTCTCTCTCTTTCTCTCTCTCTCTCTCTCTCGGTTCTAATTTATAAGCCGGCTGGTCCCGACTTTAATGAAAATTTTCCGTCGTCGAAGGATGCCATACGTAGCGGCGGCGCGCGGTCCGAGGTTCCGGAATTTACGCGAAAAAAAAGAAAAATGAGCGTTTAGGTGAGTCGCGTACGCAACACTTTATCCCGGCGAACGTGATAAGCGATAAAGCATGAGAATACGGAATATCTGTCACATTTGCGACTTCTTGCCTGGCAGCAGTGGCGACTGATTCGCGGCGATTTACATAGCTCGCGCTTCTCCGCTCGTCGTCTCCGCTCTGACACGGATATCGCGTTTATAGCTCGCGCGTTCGCCGTTGAAAAATAGCCGATGAATTTTTCAACCGGTTGTTATCTAAGCGGCGGCAATTTGTTTCCAGCCACGGTGCATCAATGACAACGTAACTGGGTGACCGTGCTCGCGTTACGAGAAAGAGGAGGAGAGGAGGGGAGAGTTTATTATAATCCTAGGTCAAGTCCTCTAAGGATTTAGAATATACATATAAACGATAAGTATATCGATGAGATGGCACAATAATAGAAATAAAGTCATTATAAATCAATTATAAAAAAACGCAAAAACAAATTATCTTAAATGAAAAAAATAGATATTGTCATGTTTAAGCAAGAATATTGTAATCTTTTCAGAAGATTTTTAATTGAGTTCAAACGATACTTGCATTAATAAAAATCTAATCACAAATTAGAAAAAAAATCTTCTGAGAAGATTATAACATTCCTATAATATATAAGAATATATCTATTTTTGATTTAAGATTAATCTGTTTTTTTTTGTGTAGGTTTAAAATAAAAGGGAGAACGAGAGAAAAAGAAAAATTCGAAGAGAAAATTCTTGAAAAGAAAAATAGTTGCTGTCTTTTGACACGTAGGTAAACAAAGAAAATAACTAGTAAATTTGTAAGAAAGATAAATGAGAAATGAAATGAAGAAGACGTAGAAAAGCAATCATAGCGTAAAGAAATATAACTTGAGTCGTTGAACGCACTGATACGTGTGTACAACAGTGTATAGACTAGAGTTACTTCGAATTTGCTTTAGTTAGTAGAGAGAGAGAGAGAGAGAGAGAGAGAGAGAGAGAAAGAAAGAAAGAAAGAAAGCCGAACTATACGGGCTTGCTACGTGCGTGAAATGCTAATCAGATAATATGCGACACTGCAAATAGATTTTTACGTCAACTCGGAAAGACATGGCGGACCTATTGCGATTAAATGTAGTCTCGAAGGTACTTGATTTTCGGATATTTGGAAGGAAAATGCGTTCAGATGACGCTGATAACAACGCCTCGGCCGGTCGGTTTATTGAATTTTCTCAGTGCAAAGCATCGACAGATAATTACGTAAGTTGGTGCGCGCGACAGCATTTCCTCGTTGTTCGGGAAAATGTACGCGAAAACTTCGAGAGCGCCGCACGTTACGGCGAAAGGTGCCGCTCTTCGATTTTCGTTCCGCTCCAGCATTGAAATCTGCCGGTGCGAGACACTCAGTCGAATTGTCCTTGACATCGATAACGATAGCTAGCTGTGCCGCGATCGTGGTAAATCGCGGCCAATTTCCTAAGATCGGGCCCGCGCGACGAAGGGAGGAAGTGTGAGCGCGAGCATCGCGTTCTCTTGGACACGCTCTTTTCCGCATTTTCTCGCATGAAATTTTCTCGGACGCGCGTCCGCGGAAATGACGGAAACGAGTCATAAAATATCAGTCAGCCGAATTCGTTTACATATTTTTTTTCCGGCTGACTCAGAACCAGATTTTGCGACTCCCCTTTGCTCACGGCTCCGCTGTGTACCAGTTCGCAGCTGACACACATATCCATTTTTCACGATTGTCGTCGTTCACGTGCCCGGATCGTGCGAGTGACCTTTGTGTGTCGCGCTCGTCAAGATATTCGGCGAATTCGCGGAACTAATTTTGCTAATGCTGCGCGGGAACACAATTTAGAGCAATTTAAAGCGTTTCGATTCTCGCGGCGCGCAAACGCGGCGGATGATACCTATGGTTTACGCGAAAACCAGGAAACACCGTCAGCTGTGAACGGAGAGATGTTTTTCAAAAGTCGTGTCTAGCGATTACTCATCGACTTGTAGCGAACCGCGTGTTATCGTGTCGCGTACGTTACCGTGTTTTTCGTTCGGTCAGGCGAGGATAATCGGACGAGCGATCTGTCGATACTAGTCCGAAGCGAAACCAGATCGATCGGAAAACCCGGATGTTACCGATGCACCGACGATGTCGTAAGAAGTCGCTTTAAGGACGCATCGTCCATTAGTTCCGCATTTTCAGTGACGCATTAAAGCTGCCACTGATAAATTTAGTATTTATCAAGCGGAATTACGTTCGGAATTGCTCTGAATTACTTTTGGTAGCACTTCTAAATGCGATATACATCAATTTGTGATGTTTTCGTCACTTTTTCATTATTTCGAATGATGAAGACAAGACATCCTTAAATTAAGACACCGATTTTACACACTGCAACAAATTTGCACGAGGCGACTGTAACTTGGAACGATAGCGCGCCGGTTTTTTTTAGGTCACAACAGTATCGGGCCGATATAATAGTTTGTCGGAAAAAGAAAAGTGGAGTAATTAGGGGACGTCGGGCAACGTGGACGTGCATTTACCGTGTTGCGCTGAGCCGGCTTTGCGCGCGACGAAAACAAGACACTCAACAACATTGTAAGGTATTTCGTCTCGTGCGCGAATTATCTTCGCCGACTGAGCGAAGAAGAAGTCGAGCGAGGGGGAGTTTCGCTATTTCTACTATTTGCTGATGGCTCGGGACCCGTTTCCAGGCTCCGGTTCGTGCTGGTTAACACAAAGCCCGACGAAGTCCCGGCCTCATGCCGCCATGTAGACTCCGGCCTTGAATCATCTCTCCCTATTTTCAGTGGCGTTCCATAAATCGGACCGCCGCGTCGGGAAAATCAATATTTAATAGCTCCGTAGAAAGTGTTATTTTGCTGAAAGGCGACTGACATAGATCGATGCCCAGCGGCTTCGTTTCAGGCGTGTCCGCGCGACTGACTGTCTTGCCCTATTTTGAAATATGCGGTACAATCAAGCGCGGCGGCCGGTGCGCGCGAGAGAGAGAGAGAGATCGCGGGGTCATCTCGCGCTACGCGAACGGCGATTTCAAGACTTCGCGTTATTTTTTATGCAACTGCTCACGTCATCGCGTTCGAGCTTACGGACGTATAAATAGTTACGATGACTTTGCGGAGTTTTACTTGTTTTCTTTTTTCACCCGTTTGCTCACGACCTCGCCACGCGAACATCGCTATCGTGCGGTCCGATTTACCTAACGCTGGCCTTTTCACGTGAATCAAAGTCGCGCGGACTTGAGATGCGCGCAGAAGCCTCGTCGATCGTAGTTTGGTCAAGTGTGAACTTGACGCAACGCTTCGCGATCGAGATCTTCTCCCCTCGTACTTCAGAGCGCGCGCTCAATCTTTGATCCGGTTTATTTTTGAAGATTAACAGTGCGACTGAATATTGTACAGCGCGGACACTATCAATGCTGTCCCATTCCCTGAGCATACACAGTAAACAATTTTGTGTCACAAACGGTCCACTCAAATATTTGTGTACCTTTTAACATACTCCCCTGTTAAAGTAACGCAAAATCTCACCGTTTTTTTTTTACGCAAAATTTTCTACTGTGTACGCAGTAAAAAACATTTCAAAATATGCGTGAAAATCGGAAAATTTTTTTTAATTTTGTGTTATTTTTTAAAATTGTTAACATATTTGTATTTTAACATATTGTGCGTATGTTATCTCAATATTTTATGTCGAGTCAATATTCAACATGTGTAAGTGATAGAATACTTTTTGTACTTCGATTAACGTATTATGTATGTTAATTTCGTGTTAATTTTTGACCTAACGTTTGCGTTACTTTTCAGCATATTCACTTCGTATTAAATGTAACACAAAATTTTGTACCGTGTAACATCGAAAATTCCCAATCAGAAGCGTTACTTGTACATCATGACTCGACAATTTGATGAATCGATAACAATTCTCCAATTCAGTAATCACGATACACAGAAATTCCAAAATAACGCGCCTGATCGAAAATCTTCAATGTTATTATGTCTAAGGAACGGGACAGCATTAATGGAGTTCTCTACAATGTAGAATCAAACGATCCTAATCACAGTTCACCGGCGTCTCCCATTTCATTCGCAACGAGATGAGAACAAGAGCGAGCTAATTGCCGTTAATTCTGACGATATTAAATAACCGCGTTAGCGCTAATACGAAATTACTTTGCGCCTCTGTCAATAATTACGCCGCGGAATATTGTTTGCAAATAATACTCGCGAAGCCGATTGCCCGTTTGATAATGCGATATTCATGCCTGACAAAGACGATTTAATGGCCGATAAATACCAGTGGAAATAGAATGATTCATGCCGGCTGGGAAAACATAACTAAAGCCACGTGAATGTTGTACACGCTGGTACGTTGTCGCGTAGGGCCGTGAACGGAAAATTGCAAAATCAACGTCACAACGATTAGCGAGAAGATTGAATCTCCGCTCTTCAGAGAACTTAAGCGCGCGCGCGCCCACACACACACACACACACACACACACACGCACGCACGCACATACACACACACGGCCTTTTATGTCTACCTGCTTATCCTTTCCTACTCAACCTCTATTCCTATTTATATTTCTTGCACTAACCCCTGAAGATTTTTTCTTCTAATTTTTCCTTACTCTTCCCCATTTTTCTACTTATTTTCCTTTCCCACTCATTATTATTTCTCTCCTCTTTTCTCTTCCTCAACTCTTTTTCTCTTTCCTTCCATAATTCCCGCAATGTATTATCTTTAATTGTATCTAATCCATCGTCCCATATCGTCCTCACTTTTTCAATTTTATCACTACCTAATTCTATAGTGAAAAAAATTGTTCAAGTAAATATTTGCTATGAGAAGTATTAGAGTAGTTTATTTCATTTGGATCAAGTAAATATTGCTCGAATGTAGCATACTAGAGGGAAAAAAAGTGTTAAACTCAAGTAATATTTGCTTGATCCAAATAAAATAAACTACTCCAATACTCCTTAGCAAATATTTACTTTAACGTAGCAATTTTTTTCAATGCATATATCATTCACTTATCCTATGACATTTTCTATATAATTTCTATATAATTTTCTATATAATGATTCTTCAGAGCTTAAGTAAATCCGGACGATTTCCGAAGACTCGATGATTCTAAAATACGTGAGATCGACCACCCAGTCGAGTTCCGAGGAAGTCGTCGCCCCCGAAAAAGCGGGCTCGGTATTTTCGACGTGCGCGCGCGCGCGATTCCGCTGAAGTTCGTCGCTACGGCACTATCGTCGTATGCGAGTGTAGCGATAGCCGTACGCGGTCGATACGCAGTAGTTATGTATGATTACTGATAGACGGGGCATGTCTGCATGGCAAATGAGACAAGTTTGGGAACTATAGGGTCACCGACGTTACATCATGATCCCGGCCAGGCGCAAGATTAATGCCGAGGTTCAAGCCTGGCAGAAATAGGCACGGGTATAATCGACGAGCGAGCGAGTCACAATGCAACCTTTCATGCTTATAGCAACTGTATTGCCCGGCGGACTTACGCATACGCAACCACGGCCAAGTGTTGCGCGGAGATGAAATTTACACGTGCCGCAGGACAAGATAAGCAGAATATATTTACAATGTTGATAAATACTCACGAGCGAACATGACTTTTGCAAAATAACCTGTGTAATAACTAGCGCACAAAACAGAGACGTATTAATATTAATATCGGCCGGGGGTTGGGAAGGAGGAAAGAGAGCGTTTATTAACTGTTCTCTTGTGAATTAACATATTCAAGTAGTTTAAAATCAGATGTAAACGAGCAAGCAAAATATACATTTTCTATTTTTTGTTATTTTCCTTTCATTATACAATCGCGATATCAGGAGTCGCAATCATCCGGTTCTCGGTAATGACATGTTTGACCTGTTCATTGGTAAAGAGCGGCTTCGTCATTGTATAAGTTTTATACCAGCTCCGACACTGTCAGAGTAGTGACAAATATTTGTCTCTCTTTCTAGCACAGCGCAACACTAATTACGATCATATTACGAACACGTATTTTTGCTGCCGCGTATTTTTATCGACACGTGCACGTGTACTGCACGACCTTTTGCAATATCCGATGCAACAAATACCGACGTTGGCGTGTTCACGGCCGAATGTATGTATGTGTGTGTGTTGCTTGCCACTCCGTTCGAGCCGGTTGAATATTTTTATGCGTTAGTCAGCGAAAAATGATTAATGTTTTCTCTAATGTCGCGGACGTATGCGCAAAATCGCGTCATTGTGCGGGGCCTGTCTCTTTGCGGCCCGTATCGCGCGAAAATCGACCTTGCTTTCTAACGAGTAACTCCTTCCAGCGGTGATTTACTCGCGGGATAGTATTACTCGACGTATTCAAAGTTTCGAAACTTCAATATAATTTCTAGCCGTGGTATTTACCATGATTGCGAAATAGCCCGAGATTTTGTGCCATCGATTTCGAGTAACGGGCTGACGGGCAAAAAATAAACGCCTCATTCTTGCGCTTATCATCCCCAGCTTCTGGAATATCCGTGTGAACACTTAGGCCACTTTATCAATGACTCGAGATATCCGGGAGATATTCGAGTACTCTACTCATACGCTTCTATCAATAACGCCGAATACATATCGAGCGTTGTTATTCATCGATGCCGAAAACACGGCGTCATCGCGCATGTATTCCGCGAGACAGTAGAAATCGATGACACAGATACGTTCGTTCCGTTTCCGTTTGCTTTCTCTATTCCGGCTCGGATCGGTGGTATTACATAAGGTCACTTTTACTTTGACCCGCGATATCACGCGTACAGCGCGTCATTGGGCGACAAAGACTATGATGCCGATTTCTTGATGACCGTCGCTTTGCTTATTCTCTTTACAGAGCGGCAAAAACAGCGATAGCGGACTGTGCGCGCGCGAAGCGGTCTTCGACGGTATCGCCGAGTAAGTATGACGAAGTGAATCATACCTGGTACGACGTGACTGGCGAAGATGAGTTAATCTTCCGAATTCTTCTTCTCGTAGATTCGAGGTGAATAATAGTATCTTGTACCCGGAAATATGCGAATGGTGAGTACGCGTCAGTTGCTCATAAAAACGTCCTTTAATTTTCATTCTTGAACGCGAGAGAGGGGAGAGAAATTAAACAATAATAAAATACCGAATATTAGAATAATGAGGGGGAGGTCACGTAAATGATTAAGTATGTATAATAAAATGTATCGAGTTAATTATCATTGTGATGTAATTTTGCGTAATTAATTAATTTCATTATAATGCAACACACGAGTGAAATGCGAAACGCGCCACCGTAGAAACTGACACATTCGCCACGCTCAGTTTTTGTTATTCATCGCGTGTCAATTGCCCGAAGGAATCAGTGTCGCCATCGGCTGGTCGGCTCATGCAAGCGGCACACGTCACCGCATCGGTATACTCCTGACAGCTTTCTAGCTGGCTCAAAGTACCAATTACACATCTGTGTCGCCGCACACGTTTTATACATTTTTGTTTTTTTCTTTTCAAAATATAATTCAGAGTGAAAGTTTTCTCTCGCCGTGACAACACCGCGGCGTCTCAATTAACTGTAATGCTTCCGTACGATACATCTTTTTCTCAGGGAAATCACCGAATAACGTCCGTAACGCGGTAATACGATGCGGAAAGGTAAAGGAAAGAAAACTCACTACGTCGGATTATTTCAGTCCCAGCTGTTATATTGTAGATGATAATCTCGAGCCGCGTAGACCGGGGAAAGTTTCTCACGGGGAGAGCATTTATGCAACTGCGTGGTCTGGCATCGAAATTTCAAAAGAGACGCTTCGAGTCGAGCACGCACGATCCAAGCGGGGCACAGTTGCGTCAGACGACGATTTTCGCCCAAGAAGGCGCCCATATACAGGAAGTCCCCGTAATAGTCAGGAGAATTACCGATGTCGAGGCTTTCTGCGACACTACTACCAGCAAGAGACCCGTCGAAACGCCGATGCCGAATAGCCGGTATCTCGATAAATTTAAGAAAGACAAGCGAGGAAAAGATATTCCTTCCACCCACGACACGTCGAAGAAGAAGAGCGTCAGCATAGAAACCGACGAGGGCACGGCGGTGCTCTTCTATTCCGAAGATCTGAAGAGCACAGACGCGGAACGGCTTCTGCATGCGATCACTTCGGGCAAGGAGACTTATTCTTCACTGAAGACCAAGATAGCTGACGAGATAAACTGCCGCATGGCGCTTCAGGGTCTGAGGAGGATCTTGGAGCTGGAGAACGGCTGGCACGCTTACCGGAAGGCTCTGTCGAGCGAGCGATCGTTCTCGGAAGCCGTCAACAGGGACACCATCTTGCGACAGCTTGTGAGTCTGATCGTCAAGAGCAAAGACAACGAGGTGATACTGCAAGGTCTCAGGGCGCTCAAGAGGGACCGATTCAGCCCCGCGAGGAACGTTTACAGGGACTGGCTGTGCAACGAAGCCACTGTCCGAGCTACCGATGGGAGCCTCACGGTGTCGCAGCTGATGAGACTGATGCGCCTCTTGGCTTCTTACAAGGAGCCCAAGTACAGAAACTGCATCGACCTGTTGTGGATGGGTCTGGCGTGCAGGGAGCGGGACATCAAGCCGGACATGCTGGTGCCGTTGTTCAAGTCGCTCAAGTACTTCCGGCAGAGCAAGAACATGGTGCGGACGATTCTGGAGAGGAAGCTCTCGGAGCAATGGTTGAGGCTGAACGGCTCCCAGATGGCCGACATATTGGACTGCTTTCACGGGAAGGAGCCGCCGAACAGGTGTCTGTCGAGCGCCAGCAAGTGGGCGAGCGTGAGCATGACCAGCTCGGGCGAGAGGAACCTCGCCGATTTCGTTCGCAGTTTGCGCACGAAGAGCCACGTCGACGAGAACGTGGAACAGGCGTTGGAGAGATACGTGACGGTCCGGGGCGGCGAGATGAAGGACGCCGATTTAGTGGCTTCCATCATGGACTACTGCAAGGGTTTGAAGGTCCGAAATTCGCGCATCCTCGCCGAGTGCGGCAGGTACTTCGTGAGAAACGGGATGGACGTTTCGCCGTCCCTGTTGGCCTCCGTGCTGACGCCGTTCGGCTCGTTGAACGTTCAGCCGCCTGACCCGACGGTCTTCTGGAAGATCTTCGACGAGGTGCTGTCCGTGAGATTCGCCGAACTGAAGCTGAGCGACACTCTGGACATTCTTCTCTCTTGCACGTATCTCGAGAGATACCCCGTCAAGTTCCTGGATAAGGTCTTCAGCTCGTACCTGCTGAACAGGCTGCAGATCCAACGAGACGCGCCCGTCGTGAATCGGCTGAAGACCAAACTGATACTGTTCGACACAACCATGTCGTTGGAGTGTAAGGATTACCAGGGCAGTCCGATTAACATAGACAAAAGCACAAAGTTGCTGAGCGCAGACGTGAGGATCAGAAGTATCGTTAGTCAGATATACAAGCCGTTAGGGCGCCTGGTGGGCGGGGAGCACAAGTTGAGCAGGGCAGTCGCTCTGAGCAAACTGCCCCTGATCAATTTTTACATCTCGGACCTTCTGATCCATCCGCTCGTCAAGTCGACGCCGGTCTTCAACTTGGATCTGCATAAGAAGAGAAACATCAACACCGCGATTTTGATACACCTGCCCGAGTATTATTGCCGGAACAGTCGGCATCTGATAGGTCCGCAGGTGATGAGGAAGAGGCAAATGAGAAAACTGGGCTTTCGAGTCGCGTGTTTGGATTACGCAAGACTGACGGAACTCGCGAGTCAACGCGACAAATTGACGTCTTATCTGTCGCAGAGTCTAGACTCCGTCGAAGACGCATTGTGAGCCGCGTGCGAATTCACGGCTGAGATCGCGATTGAACGAAATGTAACTTCTGCCTTTCTTTTTCTTCGACTACGGGGACATTGTACATTCGAGCGAAATAAAAACATCTCCTTGTAAAAGTGCACAGAAAAATAACTCGCTGTCGCAGCAAAATCTGTCGGTTACTATACGAACAGCAGGGCGATTGTTAGAAGTACTTATTGTCGAATCCACCATTTATTTTGCTGTAAAAACGAACGTGTAAAAAAGCGCCGTTTCGTTCCAACGGCAAATTAACATTTTCCCAAAAACAAATTCACTCACAGCGGAATATTTTTCCAATTCCAGCAACGAAACTGTTTCTGCTTCAATTACGAGTATGCTAATTTGATCATGCTAACTAAATTTTATCGCTGCCGCAATGAATATGCAAGAATTAGAGCAATGATATGATTTCGCTACAACAGCGGAATTATTTTTCTCCGTGTCGATTTGTTTTCGAGGGATGATTGGTTCATAAATCTCTCTCTCTCTCTCTCTCTCTGCTTTTTTTACAGTCGAGTGATAAAGTCGCCCGAAGAGATCAAGGTACTGCGATACGTGTGCAAGATAAGCTCGGATGCGCACAAGGTCGTAATGCGCACTATGCGCCCGGGAATGATGGAATATCAGGGGGAGTCCACGTTCTCCCATTATGTATATCACACGGGAGGATGCCGACACGTGTCTTACACGTGCATCTGCGGATCCGGTCACAACTCGTCCATACTGCACTACGGCCATGCCGGCTCTCCGAACGACAAAGTTATCGAAGACGGAGATATCTGGTGAGGAGGAATCCGTTAGAGGAACCATTTTCTGTCCCGCGACCTTCGGAACTTCCAGAGATGTATTCTCTGCAATCGGAGGCACGCTAAAGGCCGTTCCACAATGGCGTAGACGTAGGATATGTGAGAGTAGTAGTGAATGTTGTGCAACCTATTAACCTACATATGGAGCAAAGATACGTCGTAACTTGATTACGCCAACCAATCAGAATGTGGTTATCATCACCGCTCATTTCCATGACAGCAATCTGATCGCAGTCGGCTCTTACGCTGTCGTAGTTGTAAAAGATGAAAAGAAATTCAGTCATTTTTCACAACACACTTTACAACCGGCAGTAGTTTGCGTCTTACGACATTTTACTCACAGCTACGTTTACGCCTCTGTAGAGCCTGGCCTTAAGTCCTGTTATACAACAAGTCGTATGTTGGAACGCAGCCGATAGTAAGAGGACTTGTATTCGAAAAAGAAATTCTTTCACCGGTAAATCTCAATTAACAACCACGTTGCATCGATATTATAATTTCTCGCCCAACAATGTATCTTACACGCATGTGTTACGGACACAAGCCGTCTTATCCCTCATATATTTGTAGTTCAGGTTAGGGTGAATAAAAAAAGTCCTTTATCATTTTGCAAACAATCAGGCAAAATTTCGAGTTATTAATTATCGGAGATGGCCGTGTAGAGAGGCTGAGTGGGAAATTTATAATAGTATTGATGTAGTGTTACTCCGTTGGTTGATGTTTACCGGGCAGCGTTCCCACAGCGACATACGACTTCTTGTGTAACAGGCCTCATTGAGCGTTGCGTAATTGTCCCTTTGTCCGACGGTCATAGCGTGCACACATGCTCCCGTGACACAAGTTCTTCGGTGAATATTTTTTGAAATACGCGCTTGTTTCGGCAAGTATAACCGATTTAATCCTCTAAAACTAGCCATCTAATTAAATAACTAAATATAATGAATAATCTGTTGAAAATGACGTTCGGCATGTGAGGATTGCTGGAGTCACAAGTTAAACTGAAGAAGAAAGGAAAAATAATTGTCCTTTTCACGCTCCCACAGCTTGTTCGACATGGGCGGCAACTACTGCGGATACGCGGCCGACATCACCTGCACGTTTCCGATCAGCGGCAAGTTCACCGAGGACCAGAAGCTGATCTACAACGCGGTGCTGAAGGCGCGTGACGCAGTGATCGCGGCCGCGAAGCCGGGTGTCGCCTGGACGGACATGCACCTATTGGCGAACCGAGTTGTGCTGGCGTCGCTGAAGGAGGGCGGACTGCTAGTGGGCGACGTCGAGGACATGATAAAGGCGGGTCTGAACGAGGTCTTTCAGCCGCACGGGCTGGGCCATCTGTTGGGACTGGACGTCCATGACGTCGGTGGATACCTGCCGAATCACCCGGAACGTTCCAAGGAACCGGGACTTAGAAAGCTGAGGACCGCTCGCATCTTGTTGGCTGGAATGGTTCTCACGATAGAACCCGGCTGCTATTTCGTGGACTGCGTACAGATAATTAATTATTTGTTTATTTATTCACACATACACACTCAATTAACGGGAACAAATCCCTCTTGGTATATAGATTTAAAGACAGGGGAAATAATACAGTTCCAACTTGTGGAACGAATTACATATACAAGAAAAAAGCAAAATACTTTCTCTCTTTTCGTGTGATTATTCAATAAGAGGACATGGATGAAATTGCATTTGAAAAGAATTCAAGGAATTATTGGAAAATTGGCCGATCCCGAGTTGTGTTTGCCAACATGTCAATTCTGTTCGTACAATTGAACTTGCCGTTCGATGATAAAATACATCGGACGAACGAAATCACTCTGGATGATACGTGAAGTCTAAGTAACGTTTGTGAATATGTATTGATTTAAATAAGAAACGCAAGTCAAGAAGTATCCTTTTCCTCTCAAGAGACAATAAATTGTGACGCATTAATTAATGAGTAATTTCTACGATTGAGTTCACGACTACTTACGTAGAATTGTGTCTTCTCCAGTTACTCGATGCGGCTCTGGAAAATCCCGATCAAGCCAAGTTCCTCGTGGCGGAAGAGTTGAAGAGGTTCCGCGGTTTCGGCGGCGTCCGAATCGAAGACGACGTTCTCATCACGGAAACGGGAGTGGAGAACCTGACGGACGTGCCGCGCACGTAAGCATTCATCATGCATATTTTGGTGCACGGGAAGAAAGATTAGCTTCGGTAGCTTTTTTGCTGCTGCAACAATTGCTCACGTTGCTAGAGTTTTAGGCGTTCACAATTAATTTGTCTACTGCAAGCTAATCTTTCTTTCCCGTGAGGTCATGCAAAAATTGATCAAATGGAGTGACCTTGCCTGTGAATGTTCCAGGGTCGAAGAGATAGAGAAGGAGATGGAACGCTAGTGATCCGGGGATTTCCGTTCTGGGATGCTCACGAGGAAGTTACGATATCTACGTCTGCCTATTAATTTATATATTGATACGTATCAAACAACGCAATTGTGATATCAGAGGAAGCGATACTCGCACGCGACCTCTCGTATAATGATGTATCTATTTTTCTATCACGTATACCATATATGCGATGAATGTACATAACTCGATGAACGAATAAAGCAAAGGCCTGCCGAGACGGCACGATAAAACGTCGCATCCACCACCGCCGGCGTTCCTACACGTTGGATCGATATTCGTCGCGCTGGTAACATTTTGTAAGCTCGTTCGCTCTCCACGCTGTGATCCACCCGCGAAGAGCTGGACTCAAGATCGAGAGTGATTTGAAGTTCGGGCACGATTCGACGGATTAGGAGCGCGTGGACACCGTTATCGCGGCGTTCGCTGGGAGGCGGGTACGTCCACCATTCGTACCCGGAGCGTACGCCGCTATTATCGAGCTCGGCCGGCGCTTTACAGTTGCGTGACCGACGCGCGCGGTGGTGCATGCCGCCTCGCGAGAATTCCGCTGAAATTGTATTTTATATCGAGGAATTGACGTCAAACCTCTTCCCGCGAGGAGAGGGGGAAAAATACATTCGAATAGTAATCGTAAAGGAGGCGTTCTCGCGCGAGGAACCCGGGTAGAAAGCCGCGAGGAGAAAGCGGCGGCGAGGAGGAGGCGCGCTGTTTTCGCGGGTGTAAAAATAAGACCTGTCCTCGGCGCGGTACCGAATCCGAAAGTGCACTATCGCGATTGATTTCAATTTAGATTCACCTCGCGCGCACGCGATAGCGCCGTCGACGAAATCGCCGTTTATAAATGCCGCGGTGCGGGTCAAGGGGAAGCGCGCGGACATCTCTCTCGCGCCCCGAACTCGTGGGGAGATCGTAAACCCGCGAGACAGGCCCGTCCGAGTAAAAAGAAAACCTACGAAAGAACATGGAAACACAGCATCTAAAAGACGTCTTAATGTTCTCTCTTGAGGAGACGTTCCTCGCTTTCCGCCTGCTGAGGGAAAATCTCGCGAAGGTCCCGCTTCTCGCCAAGAGGAAGACGTCGACTCGAAAATAACGAGCAAGAGCGCGTGGAAGTTCCTCCTCGGCGACGAGCGGGAAGTGCGGTCCCCTCGTGATAACACGAGGCAGGAAAAGTGTCGTCGGAGGGAAAATCCGCGAGTGGACGAGCGTGGCGATTTATTTCGGCGCGCGCTGCGTACTTTCGGAGGAGAGCGGGGGGACGAGCGAGAGAAAAAGAGAGGCCGCTTGCGTCAGTGGAGCACGGCCGGTTCTCTCTCTCGAACGGTGACCGCGAAAGACCGAAGATCGAAGGCGTGCGCACCTGGAGGAAGGACAGTCGGTCGAGCGCCACGCACGCGTCCGCTGGAGGAGGAAGCTCGCGCGAGGATCACGAGGTCTCCGTCCATATTGAGAGCCTGCCAAGCTGTGAATTGGCTCCCGAACTTCTCGCGGGGGAGAGAGATCGCGCGCGCAGTAAAGGTGAAGAAATCGGCGATAAGCGCGTTATCTAATCGCCCGAGCGAAAGAAGACCCTAGTTCCCCTCGTCACGGACGGTGAAACGTGCAAGTGAGCCGGAGGATCGATCGCACGAGGGGCAACTGGCCGATCCGCACCCCCACGAGGAAGAAACGACGGACCGAGAGTGAGCGGACGCGCGAACTCGCGACTAGTCATCGATCGACCGCCAGACGCTGCGCGCCGCGACGCCCTCTCTCTCGTGTCCCCACCTGTCCGTCCCCCCTCCGGTCGTGTCAGACGTATCACGTCGGAAACGGCGCTCTCTCCTCTCTCTCCCTGGATCATCCACCGAAGCCTCCTCCGCAGATCCTATTCCTTCGGCGTGCGAGTCGCGATAGTTTGCGGGTAGTCCTGCTGTGAAACGGTACGAGAGCGCGCGCGCGCGCGTGCAGCCCCCGAAGATGTGTCGCGGCGCGTTCCAACGTGTGCGCAAAAAATGAGTGGCTGAGAGAGAGTTCGGCAACGAAACACTACGTTGGGACGGCGAGATATCGGCGAGTGCCGTCTCCCCAGCCGAGAGGGTGGTGCGGGGGGATCGCGCACGAGGGATCAGACGGATTAGTATCGGCCGATAGGTATCGCGTCGCGACGAAGGGATTATCTCGGTTTACTCGGAGAGAGAGAGAGCGCGAATACAGGTTTACACAGCCGGGGCAACACGTTTTTTTTTTATCACGCGTCGCTTCTAATCACAACTTAGACAGGGAGCCCGCCAGTGCCTCGCCGAGAAGAATGTTCTGCTTCCAAAGCCCGTTCACGCGAACGTCGCGCGGCGTCGGCTCCACCGCGTCCCTGTCCAAGTCGTCGTTGGTCAACGCGATCCTGTCGCCGACCGGCAGACGAGGCTCCGAGGCGACCAGCGAAGGCTCCAACTCCTCCTCCATCAGGTACATCGACCAGGAGGCTTCGATGTCGGGAGGCAGCAGCACGGACACCCTGCCGGGGATCCGCGCCGACTACCTGGACCCCGAGCCGCTGTCCCCACCCGGAACGGACGCTCTCACCTCGCCGAGCGGCATCACCGTCGTCTTAAACGGGAACAACGCGTCGAAGAAGTCCAACGGCTGCAGGTGGCGGCGGAAGCTCCTGCTGCGCCTCCGTTCCAACGACTCCTCCTCCAACTCGACCAACGGCTCGCCTTCGCCCGCCAGCGAGTCGTCGGCCTCCTCGAGGAACCCGACCACCGTCTCCGTCGGCGACATACCGTCCCTGGAGAACGGCTTCAGCGAGCCCGAGGAGGACGAGGAGGAGTGCGACGCTTCCCTGCCGTCCAGCCCGGCTGCGGCCTCCACCGTCGGCCTGGCCTCCTCGACCGTTCCCTACTACGACTTCCTGTCGGTGAACGGTGGCGCGATGCGCCAGGAAACCACCAGCACCAGCTCGCCGCAGCTGTCGTCGAGTATGCGCGACTCCAGCGCGGAGTCGCCGCCCGCCGACACCCGCAGCTCCTACGGCGAGGACGGTAGCCCAGGCATCGACTCGCTGAAGCCCGAGGACGGCTGTCTGCCGGTCGCCAGATCTTGCCCGAACCTCGAGAGGCAGAGCGCGGGTTCCAGCCCCGGTCCGGCGGGGCCGAGGTTCAAGCCGCTCGAAGAGGGCGACATACAAGTGTGCTACCTGAACCACACCCGGACCCTCGTGAGGAAGATCCTGTCGAGCAAGTTCCTCAGGCGCTGGGAGACGCATCATCTCTATCTCAACGACGCCTGCCTGTCCTCCAAGACGGTGAGTCTCTTTCTGTGTGTGCGCGTTTTTAACTTCCGTCTCTTTCAAAAAGTACGTTTTTCGCCGTTCAAATATAATGGTCGTAGGAGGAAGAGAGAGTTATTTATTCGGCGCTCGAAGTTTTGATGACAACTGAAATTGCACAACCTTGCTAGATATTTCATGCATTTTTTTATCAACTTCTGCCTAGTAACTGAGTCACTTGGGATCCCAATCAAGATATAACGTTTTTCTTGCAGCTATTTTAGCGCAACAAATTCCAAGTTTCCGTTCTACGGTCTTCAATAACTTCCCTATTTGGAACCCCCTAAACTAAATTAGATCAGGACTTAAATTTCGGTAGTCTGCACTACATTTCTACCGCATGAACCGTATAAATAGATTTTATTTATATATTGCGATCGAAGTCGCAGAACGAAAAGGGCGGGTTTGTATCGGCGAGTATTTCGATCGGCCGGCTATTTTTGTCCCGCGCGAGAACTTTCGATCTATTCGCGGCAGAATGGTGTCTTTGTGAAATGATTAATATTTCGCGATTAGCGCGCGCCGGATTTCGCGTGTGTAACTCCGCTCTCGGGGTCTCTATTCTCGGCTTAGATCGCACGCGAGCTCCGTTATGTTACCGCACGTAGGCGTAACAACCAGCGAGTCCCCTCTGCCGTATTGTATCATTATCCAGATTACTGGTTACTATGGCAATCTGCAAACAATAGTGCAAATTCCAACCGCTCGGGAGGAAATCCTGTCTGTCGCACCTCGTCCCCCAATTAGGATTATTGTCCGCGCAGGACGAATTGATTTAGGATAAAGAGCAAAGCAATCGGGAAATTAAGCGGGCAGCGCGACATCACGCCGTGGCTCCTCGAATCGCGCCTGAATTCTTGGCGAAATCGCGCAACTTGAGCTGTTTGTTATGATAGGTCGTGTTTGATAATAATAGCGAATTTATCCGAGACACGTCGCGAGCTTGTCGCGTCTCACCGTCTCTCTCTCTCTCTCTCTCTTTCTCGGTTTCGTAATTCGATTCGTCCTTTGCGTAGGAGCGCGAAGGACTCGTTTACCGTATAATTCGTTACGTAAACTTCGTAGCGCGAAGTATGCATACTTTATCGCCGCGTACCCTGTGGCTTCCCGGCTCGAAATTTTACTTTCTTATCAACCCTGCAAACCTCGTTGAGAGAATCTTGAAGCATAACGTTGCAGTCTTCGGGGCTGGAAACTGCGTAACGTCGTTGAGGCTTAAAAAAGGACGTACCTAGGGATTATTTAATAATAATAATAATAATACTTTATTGATCGGTCAACTTTTACATATTGCATGGATAGAATTAGAAGAAATTACTCGTCCAATGATTTCAATAGTTGAGCTATTTAACTGTTTCATCCCGAGCAATATATATTCGATAATTTATTTAATTTTTGCATCCTATAAAACGATGTTTACAGTGAGAATTTAAAGCGCAGGACTTCAAGTTTCAAGCCTTAAGCCGTGAGAAATTTGCCAATCACGATCGATTATTCTTCTCACATTCAACTTGATCAACCGATTTCTTACGTCTTAAGGCTCAAAGCTCAAGTCTTAAATTTTCATTGAAAAAACCGTTTGATCCGTTTTGAAATCTGCTCTTTGCCGTTATCGTGGTCAAGCGCTCAGTGATGTGCCGTACGAAAACACGAGTTGATCGGATACGCGCAACCTTAACTAATGATCACGTGCTTATTATGATAACTTGATCATTTCTCTGTACCGAAAGTTTGATGGAATATTTTGATAGCGTTTCTTATTATGAATTCTCAGTCACCGAAATTGTTTATGTACGCGTCATTGACCGGTGGGTAACGGGAGGTGTTGGCGACCGGGAAAAATAGTTTTGCTTTTCATTCACCGATTGTTTTGGTTTTTTTTCTGCGTTGTATGCTGCCTTCTCATGACCGTTTCCTCTCATTATGTCGACGAGCGAAATACGCATCGGAATCCGTGTCTCGGTGTCTCGTTATTTGCAATTCCCGTCGGCTGATTAAAATATTTCGTCAACTACTGAAGAATTCAATCGAGCACTCGTCGGCATCGCGTTAGTTAATACGCGTCTCTCCGATCAGAATTGTATGTCAGTGTCAGTGAGTGTCTTGTGCAACGAAACAGCCAAAATGCTGAGTCAAGAAGCCGAGAGGCGATAATATATTTCCAGGTATGCAAAATTACTTATCACTATAAAACAGTACTTCTGATAATTTCCTTTCCGCGACATCGGGTCTCCAGATTTCATGCGCATTTACAATTCGTTACTAAACAATATCTTTTACTCAACTGCTCTTTACATTTCTTCTACAGAACTGCGTGCATCTAATTATTGAAGTTAATATCCTAATTTTCAAATGTGTATCTTACTCAATTTTCCACATCGCGATACCGCCTTCTTACACTTAATTAATCTCGGGGTTAGCCAAATATAAGCTTATGCTTTTACCTCGCCCATTGCGTGCCGCCTAAATCAAGATTTGTAGTATGGCTATTCGAATTGAAATTTTAATCCTATTTTAAGTCTAATTCAGTTCTACATTAAGTTTTCAAAGGTTTCCAATGCGTGCCCTTTTCGTGCTACAAATAGAAAGTTTTTTCCCCCTGAGGATTTAATGTCCCCGAGAATTAAAAATTTCGACTCGGATAGTTACAGAAAAGTCGCAACATTTTTTTAATAAGTTTTAACAACAATTTATTCGAATAATACCCAACTCTGTTCTCAGGAAATACATTTTCCTATTGGATTGGCGTTGCGAAACTCATAAAAAAAAGTGTTGCAACTTTTTCGTGACTGACTATACAGCGCACACAATCAGATAGCACGCAATAAAGCTATTATTATTATTACTATTATTATTCTAAAAATTTTTCTGTTTCGCAAATTAAATGACGCGTTGCTCACTGAAATGAAAAATAAAGATATCCTCGATCCTTCGTCGAAGCGAGGAGAGACGGAGCTCGTGAAAGTAATTGAACGCTCCGATTAATAATTGAATTGTGGCCCTGTGATAACACGCTACCGCCTTTTATCTCTCTTCTCAAGTCAAACAAATTAAGCGCCATTTACGGCTGCGTTTGCCGATGACGAGTCGGTATCGCGAAAATTTACCATGTCCATAAATATTTATCGACGAAGCACGCTCGCGTCACCTTACTCAGCGTTGAATATTAACGTCGATCGCTTGTTTATTCAAAAAAATTCCAAAAAGTTCGTATTCGTGGACTCGCGTACGATTGTTACGAGAGCGGCGAGAGGCTCACAAGAACGGCAACCCACAGCGGGGGGTGTATCGACACCACGTGTGCGCACGCCTCTCTCGCCGATCATTCCGAGCGAGCGTGCAACAATGATTACACGTCCTCCCCCTTTCTTCCTGCCTCTCATTCGTGGCTTCGCGTATCGGAATGCAATCTGCATCGTCGATACGGTTAGCCGATATATAGCAAAGTACGGCGGCAACGATCAGCGATCCCTGTTTGTAAGTGACGAGGCTTACGTAATCGTGATCGAGTTTTCCGCGCGAGTTCCCACCGAGAGAAAACCGTCGGGGGCAAACCGGCTAAATTCATTACCGCCCGCCTTTCAGAGCGGGAACCGTCGTCGTGGCTGCATCCTTGCCGCTCCGATACACGATTTATCGCTTTTGCTTTATCGGAGCGCACGTCCGTGTGTTCCCCCCTTCTCTCTTCCTCTCTCGACGCGGAGTGCCACTTGATGCACTTGGTTGATGCGCGATAGCTTCTATTTCCGTAGCGATGCGTTTGCACATAACTCCCCTTAAACAGCATCCTCCTCCCCCCCCCCCCCCC